CTTATTCTTATGCATGCTGCTCGATTCCCCCCCCCCCGCTCTCCTCCCCCCTCTCTTGTTGACCCACTACTCGCCACTCTGTTGATTATTGGGAGCAGGTTCGCCTGCTCGCCCACCTTGCCGCCCCCGAGTCTCCCCCGTTGCTTTTCCCCCTTCAACACCACCTCTGTCGATGCTTCGAGTAATAATATATCTTGTTTAGTTAAAGTTGAAATCCAAGAAAAAAAAAAACAATTATTTGTGTCCACACCTTTCGAGCATTGGAATTCGATGCTGGCACGATCAGAGCAAACATTACAAGAAGAAGCGTCGTCGACTTGTGTCCATTTCTCCACGCTGCAATAGTAGGAGTTGTGCATCAGAGTGAGACCATGTCCAAGGAGCATGCAACAGTGCCTCCTCCCACCGGCCCCACAAACTTGTTCACCCCATTCAGTACGCACCTTATGTGTCCACTCGTACTCGCCGTACTTGGCGTCAAATGTGCCTTTTTGCAGGGATCGCAGCTTAAGCGTAAATCGGGGCCCAATCTCCTGGAGACCCACTTTTTGGGCATTGCGGAAAATGTAGCGATGGTGGCGGAAGAAGATGAAGTCACGCTGATTGTGGAAGGTGATGACACGGCGACCCACAAACTCTGGATCGTGCGGGAAAAGTGTGGCAAACATGCGACCAACGGTGTGGCCCAATCGAGTATTGAAGTTGTTGAGCACAAGTTCCGGTCGATGGTCGCTCGAGCGCGCGTGGTTCTAACGAAACGAAGCCAGGTAGAATCACGGAAGGGAAAAAGATCAACCGCCACAGTCAGCAACGTGCGATCGAAGGAAGCAAAAAACACAGGGGTGCAAATCGTTCATCACAAAGTCCTCCTACTCGAATAGTTTTGGCAATCTGAATACTGCTGAGCTTGAAGTGGGCCGTGGGTCCGTCAGGAAGGTGTGTAATGATAAGACCATCTGAAAACGAGAGAAATGCGTATGGTGAGAATTCCAAGCCCGGCGCAAGCAAAAAAAAAAAAATGTGGATTGCGACCACATCCTTCCTGAAGCAACGACAAACACCGCCTCCAACGTGCACCGAGGGCTGCATCCATACCGGCTTCTTTGTTGTTCTCGTTGATGAGCATCACGTCTGTAAACTCGCGATTTTTGGCAAACTCAATGATTTGCTTCAAGTCAAACTTTTGGCGGGGAACGTAGGTGGCATTGGGAATGGCCGTGACAAGGTCTTGCACAAACTTGAACGTTTCCTAGAGTGAGAGAGAGTGAAATGGTAGCCCGCGATGCAGTGAGAACAACTGAAGCAAAAGTCGAAATGCAAAATCGACAAAAAAAAAAAAAAAAAAAGGGCAATCACATCAAACCCTGGGTTGCCTTACGCCAACGGGCTTGATGCTCGTTGTAATGAGCAGCTTCGGGAGTGTTTCGCCGTTAAAGTAGTTGGCAAACTCGTCCATGGCTTCGTCCTCAACGACCTGAATTGGAAACCGAAAATTTGGGACCAAACAGCTGAGCGCCTGGCATCAATCCACTGCATCATTGAAGCCAAGCTTCTTGTTCTTTCTGGTTTCACGAAGCCTCACCTCCTGGTCGTCGGGATTGACGATCGTCTCATCAAACTCGCGCGTGCTTTCAATGGTCTTTGGGACTTCCTTTGGCGGCGCCTGGTTGCAGTTTCAACGATCAACAAACCCCAACCCGCCCGGCGCCAAAAGACACGTACGAGCAAGAATCAATGTGACAATAGAATGAGATGGTGAGTTGAAGGAGGCAGGTCAGCTTGGAAGACTTGGCGCTGCAGGAGGCACTGACTGAGCGCCACATGGTGCTGCACGACTGTTGCAACCTCGTTCGACGCACACTCATTCACACACACATTCACACACATTCACACGCCTCCTCTCATTCTTTCTTTGGTGCACGTACCGCGTCTCCGAGTTGACGGCGCTCGGCTAGCTTCTGGTCGCGCTCCTTTCGACGAGCGACCGACTTGTCGTGCTTGAGCTGCTTGTACAAGTCCTTCTTGAGCGTCTTGCACTTCATGTCTGCGAGCATCTGCTGCCGAGCTGCAAAGGGGTTGTCGACACTCGCACTCGCACTCGCATCGGTGGCGGCATCGGTGGACGGCAGCGGCTCGGGAGCGGTCTTCTTGAAGCTCTTGCCAGCCTTGGCCGCGGCAGCAGCAGGCGTCGACAGTCCAGCCGAGCTTTTGGGCATTATTGCTTTGGAAAAGAAAGAATGAACAAAAAGGGAGAATGAGATTGAGTCGTTCTATTTGTTCAACGATCACAAACAAAAAAAGTGGGGTGGGGTGGTGGAAATGGGTTTAAAATGCATCAAAAATGAAAGCCGCAAGCAGGGAACACAAACAAGTTAAGCAGAGAAAGCAGGGACCGGGGGATAGGTGCAGCCAGAGCGACGAATGACCTCTTGGGCGGCATAGGTGCCTGCGCCGACACATTGGGCAATGGAGGCGTTGGCAACATACTGGCTGAGGAAGCCACCGACGAACGCATCGCCGGCGCCGTTGGTGTCGACAATTTGGTCGGCGGGGATGGCCGGGACGGCGTGCTCGGTAATCTCACCGTTGTGCAGGACCACGACGGGGTGGAGGCCGTGGGTGAAGACGACGGTGCGCGGGCGAGCAGTGTTGACCTTGGGGAGGGCAGCGGTGCGGCGAGCAATCTCCTTGAGGTCGGTGGTTTCCCAGTTGTTGGCCTTGGCCCATGCCTCAGCCTCGGTTTCGTTGCCAAAGAGAATGTCCCAGTAAGGCGAGACAGTGTCGAGGTTGGCCTTGAAGAACTGGCAGAGGAAAGGCGCGGCCAGGTTCATGGTGAAGACCTTGTTGGTGGCGGCGGCGTGCTTGCCAATCTCGAGAGCGCTCTCGGTGGACACGGTCAGGAAGAAGGAAGCCGAGTAGTACACGCGGGCCTGCTCAACAAGCGCCCAGACAGCCTCGCTCTTGAGGTGCTCAATCTTGTACTTTTCAGCGGCGGCGAGGTGGGCGACGAGCGAGCGCTCAATGCCAGTCACCAACACGGCGCACTTGCCAGAGGGAGTGGCGGCGTCGACGAGGTACTCGGCGCGGACACCGTCAGCCTCAGCGCATCGGCGGAGCTCAGCGCCGAAAGCGTCGTGGCCAATGCAGCCAATGTAGGTAGTGGCGCGGGGCTTTTGAAGCATCCACTGTTTGTGGGTGTTGCGTTTCGATCAAATGCGGAGTGTTGGGTTGTTGTTGAGTGCTGTGACGAAACATGGGCAACATCCCTTCGAAAAAAAAAAACAAAAAAAAAAACAAAAAACGACGAGCAATGATTGTCAATACCTGAGCAACGCGGATGCTGTTCTGGGTGGCACCGCCAGCCACGTACTCGACCTTGAACTTTTCAATCATCTCCGAGTACCTATGGAGTAAGAATGACAAACAGACCACAATCACTGTCAGCCGGCCAGAACAACTGCTTGAAGCGAGAAGTGGTGTTTTTTGCGTCGTACAGGTTGACGTGCTCCTCAGTGGCAAGGATGGCATCGTTCGACTTGAGGTTGTACCTGTGATCACGAAGCAAAAAGGCGAATCGAACAAACTCAAAAATGAGTCATTGAATCCGATCTCCAACCAACTCAAACATTTCAAAATTCACAAGAAATTCAACAAAATCCCAAAAATCCCAAAAATCAGAATCCAAAAAAAAAAAAAAAAAAAAAAAAAAAAAAAAAAAAAAAAAAAAAAAAAAGCGGCATTGTTGGCACATGGTTCCACATGGATTGTTCAATGGCCCGCGAATGCAGCACAGTCACACCCGTTCTGCAGCTGACACAAGAGCAACGTCAAGGCAGCACATTGACTTGGATTTGGACTGCAAAACAAGCCACACACCACAGACGGATTCCAACAACGAAGAGCCACAGATAAAAGCAAAAAAGAGAATCCATCGCTCGACTCACTTGGCAAGGAGCGCGGCGTCGACGTGGGCGCTGATGTCGAGCAGCGGGTTGCCAATGCCAAGAAGGACGCCTTCGGTGATGGAGGACATGGGTGCGGGGGAGGTTGACTGTTGAGGTCTGTCACGAGACGAAATCCAGAAAGAGACAAGAATCAGTGAGTGAGTGTGAAAGGGACCAAACCGAACTGTGGCTGCGACGCTAAAAACAACAAACTGTTATAAACGACTGACACAAACATTTGATCAGACGTAAAAACTATTGGTTATTGGATTGCTTGAAAGCCGAGTGGAGTGTGGAGCAGGGGAGCGGAGGGGGGGGGGCTAATGGGGGTATGATTGAAAAAGAGTAAAAATACAAAAAGCGAAAACCACTTGCACAAAAAACACAAAAACCGGGGTCAAGGGGGGCCCCAAAACGACGGCTTAGGCCTTGTTGGCACCAGGCTTGTCAGTGGAGGCGCCAGGGCCGCTGTGAGCACGCCGGGAGGGTGCTGAAGGGGACGATGGCGAATTGGAGCCGTCCATCAGCGGTTGCCCGTCCAGTTGCATTGGACGCATGCCTGTCATTGCATCAAGCAAGGATACAGCAAATGAGTCCGAGGGTGGGCGATGCAGAAAAAAACAAACAAACAACAACACGGCAGCAGTCAACCCCACAAAGCTGCAAAGTCGACAGCACAACTCACCTGGCATCATTGGAATATTGCCCTGCATGAGCATCATGTGATGCATCGGATCATAGCCTTGGGGGAAGCCACCCGGGAAAACCATGTTTGGTCCGAACGGCATGACAAGATTTGGCGCAAAGTCGCCGGGATACATCAGGTTTGGATCGGGCTGCAGAGCAAACGGCTGCATGGCTGGTCCCATGAACGGGACGTGCATACCGGGCATCGGAGGCAAGAACGGCATGCCCATCTGTTGCTGAAGATGGTGTGGTCCATGCTGCTGCTGCTGCTGCTGCTGGTGATGGCCAAAGTTGCCTTGGTTGTGATGGTGCTGACCATGATGGTGACCGTGGTGGTGTTGCTGGTGATGGTGAGACTGGTGCTGGTGGTGAGAATGGTGCTGCTGGTGCTGTGGTGCAGGGACGGATGCGTCGCCACCTGGCGTGAACACTGCCGCCTCTGGGTTGAACTTGAAGGCTGGAGCTTTGGGATTGAGCTTGGACTTTGGCTTGTCTGTGGCAGCTGCAGTCGTGGACTTTGCAGCACCGGCGTCATCGGTGGAGGCTGCTGTGGCCGCTGGAGTGGACGAGGCTGTGGAAGCAGAAGTAGCGGCGGGTGCGGGCACAGTGGCATCGGCAGCTGGCGCAGGCGCCTTGTCTGATGCGGCGCCTGCCGAGGGTGACACCGATTTGGGCACCTCAGCATCAGCGGCAGCTTGTGGTGAGGAGGGCTTGCTTTGCTGCGAAGGAGAGCCTGCTCGCAGCGCCGGCGGACGGTAACGATCAGTGTCGCCAGACTTGCGCGACTTGTCAGCCGGGTCGGCTCGCTTGACATCCGAGTACAAGGTTGCTTCATCGCTCTCGTTTGCTGCAGGTTGCAGTCATAGTCACAAGCAGAAAAAAAAGGGAAGGGAGGGGGGAGAGAACATAAAAGCACTCCAAGTGAGAAATCCTCAAACATGATAAACAAAAAAGCGGCCCCGGAAACAACCCATCATACTCACCAAACAACTGGTTGCGATCCTCGCGCTGTGCAGTGGTAGTGGCGGTCGAACCCAGGATCTCGCGCTCCTTCTGCTCGGCAAACTCACGCATCTCGGACGTGACATGCTTCGGCAAGGGGACCGTGTACAGCTCCTCCTTGAAGTCGGTCTTGACACCGTAGAGGCTCTCGTTGGTTCGGAACATTTCGTTCGCGTCCCAGGAGGTGGCATTGCCCATCGATTCGAGCCCGCCAGTCTTGTCGTCGCCGCCAGACCAGGCGACCCACTGTTTATCGGTGCGCTTCAGATCACCGCTAATCTCCGTGTCGGTTTGGAACTTGCCCGAGACAACGGGGCCGCGATGCGCATACGACAGGTCAATGTCTGCCACAAACAGCTGCAAGCAAAGAGAGAGAGAGAGAGAGAGAGAAAAAAAAAGGCGCCCAAAACCAACACAGTCAGACAAAGAGCAGTCACCACAACCAAAACAAGTCACAAAAAGGTTCAACGACGTACTTCGACAAAATCAGCGGCGGGAATATCAAGCTTGGTCACAAGGGTAGGACGCGTCGACGGGGGAGTGGGCTGAGCACCGTTCGCGGGAACAGTGGGGACTGTGCGGGCGGCGCGAAGCGACACGGCAAGGCCAGCCTTTTCGGAAGTCGTGGAGACAAGCACACCGTAGTAGATCTGGGTCTTGGTACGGACCTGAGCAGGACAAAGCCCGCGCAAACACACAGCAAAAAAAAAAAAAAAAAAAAAAAAAATCAGACGGGTTGATCTGGAGAGTACAAGTCTGAACAACACAAGTTGAGCGAGCGGCACGATGCAGCGCAATCGACCTACGTAGACAGGAAGACCGGTCAGGCAGCTCGAAAAGTGGGCAATGCGATCAACAGGCGGCGCGGCGTCGTTGACAGGAGTGGATGGCTTGGGAGATGCGACGCCGCTCTTGGGGCCAGCCGCCCCACCTGTCGCCTTCGATGGTCCGTTGGCAGAGGCAGAGGCAGAGGCAGAGGCAGAGGCGGAGGCGCTCTTGCCCACCGCTTGCGAGTAGTTGAGCGTGTTGCTGCCCGACTTTTTGGCGCCAGAGTTGGCGGCCGTACCAGCGGCGGCGGCATTCGGGCTGCCAGATCTGCATCCAATCCCACCCACAAGCAACAAAAAAGCCAAACAAGGACATCAAGGACAACAGTCAGCGACGGCACAAGCCACGGATCCAGCACATGTTGAGATCGCAGCAAGAAAACAAGCACAGCAACCGCACCGTGGGGCTGGGGAGGAACTCTTGGAGACTGGCGATGACATGATGGAAGAGGATGATGGCTTGGTGCTGAGAGGGCGAGAGGCAAGGAGAGAGAAAGAGAGAGAAAGAGAGAGAGAGAGAGAGAGAGAGAGAGAGAAGAAGAGAGGAAGCGAAGGGATTGGAAAGAGCAAAAAGAACACTACAAAATTTGGCGGGAAAAAGAAAAGAATGACTGCGTTTTTTTGTATTTGCGTTCAAGCTGCAAAGTCCGGTCGAACATGAATTGAAAAGGGGGAGATGGGGTTGAGACGAACGTTGATTGCGGCAACGGAGGAAAACGTTGGGAAGGTGCGAAAGCTCCGGCAGTTGGAGTTGATCTCGGTGCATCCCCTTTGGCTTCGCTGAGTTTCTGAACGGCCATGACGACGAACGTGCGTGTAACGCAAAAAAAGCCCTGTGAGCATCCCCGTGCAGAGTACCCAAGATGCAGAACCCAATTTACGAAACGATTCATGAAAACACAGCAACGCCAGTTGCAATAATGCCTGGTTCAATTCAACACTACTGGGTATAGTGAGACTCTCACATCCAAGAAGAAGAACACTCAATACAAGTAAACACGCGTGTACAAATGGACGACGAAGCGGCATCGAGGCACGAATGTGCAAGGCCGATAAAAGTTCTTCATGGGAGGTGGCCACTCATGCGCAAAGTGCAATAACGATCTGCTAGCTCTCGAATAGCCATGCTGTACGCATTCAGCTGATACGCCTTCCGTCGCACCACGAGATCGGGGTCGGAGAGCGCAGCAGCGGTGGTGTGCAGCGCCTTGGAAGATTCGCCATAGTAGAACAGCTCTGCAATGGCGGCTATTCGCCGTTGACGCTCGCGGATAAACTCGACATCCAGGCTGAGCTTGTAGAGATACTCGAGGAAGGAGAATTTGTCGACCTGGGCGGTGGGGTACCGAATCACAATCGCATCCCAGTCTACATGATCGTAGTAGCCAAAGCGGAATCGCCGGTCAAACTGCACCGGAATGCATCCTGAAATGAGCGAATCGTAAAAGCGCTGCGTCCACGGCGAGGTTCCGTGCGGTGCGGCGCAAAAGGTAAAGTTCTGGGTTCGTTTCGGGTAGAGGCTCGGGTCAGGGTCGTTGATTTTGCTGGCGATGAGCACCTTGTCCCGGAAGAAGGCGGCCTGCTCCGAGTCGCCTTGCAGAGCCACTTTTAAACGACCCAAGGCTTGCCGCTGCTCGCGTAGGCCTGTATCGCCGAGGAACATGAACAGCATCGGACGATCTGCGAGGGGCTGGTGGTGAATCTTCATGTACGGTCCGAATCTATAATCCGCGCTTCCTGGAATCGTAAAATCCCTGCCGGCAAAGTATCCGCGCGGCCGAACGCTTTCTGACAGGAGTTTGGTGGCGTTGGAGTAAAAAGTGTTGATGGTCGCCGACGAACTGGAACCCCAGAGAATATCGGTGATAAGGCCGAGTGAGCCGCCTCCCGGATTAATGATGAAATGGTCGTATCCATAACGCCGGCGAAAGTAGTCGTTCTTGACGTGGAGAATATCGATTGCATTGAGGAACGAGTCCGACTGGAGAACGTGCGGGCGATCGTGGATGGCAATCATGCAGCGACCCATGGCTGGGATGAAAAACATGTGTGCCTCTTCTGGATTGGTGGTGTAGTGAATGGAATTGACGACCCATGTCGGGAGCTCGGCCTCCTCTCGCCACATTGGAACGAGTGCTTTCACGCAGTTATGCGGCTCCATGTTCTTTATCATTTCAGTGTAGACGAAAATCTTGAGCACGCCAATGGGTGCGTCCCATTTGAATGGAACGGTCCTTGACGGCACGCATTGGAGGCCTCCATGGGTGGAGAGCGAAGCCGTGTTCATGGCGTTGCGTTGGGAATCTTCGAAGGCCACGGTGTGCTCGTGCATGAGGCTCCGCAAGGCGGCTGCCGCGGGCGACATGGTTGCTGTTGGTTCTGGGGTGGCTAGCTCTGGAGCCTGTGTTGGCGCGCTGTCTGTGAGGTTGCTCCCAGAGGGGCACGGAGACGGAGAGGGAGACAGAGGGCGGGGAGCTGGACCTTGGTTGTCTGCTGCGGGTAACCTGCGTATGAGTCGGTTAGCACCTAGCAGGCCTGTTCCAACAACCACCGTCTTACAAGCCTACCAACATAGCAACTCACAATAACGACCGCTCCGTCCAGACCAGAGCGAGCACCAGCGCCAGCGCAACGACTGGCAGGACAAGGCGCCCCGACTCCTCTTTCATGGAAAACAGTCCAACTTGTTCGTTGTTTTAGGGAGAGAGAAGACTGCGGGCCTCGTGAAACAGTAGCTCAAGTGTGTGAAGCACACTACATTCGCCATCACTTTGAGCAATCCAAGCCGGAAGAAATAAACAGCACGTAAACTTTTGTCCTGCTCGTTCTTTCGTTTTCTCGGGCTTTCAAACTTGATACGTCGATTATTTAGCTCGTGGATAATTCGGCTTACAAGTGCAATGTTCATGTAAGTCTGAATCGTCGCTCGTTTTCAGTGGAGTCAAGTCAAACCAACTTTCTCAAAAGGTGCTTCTTGACAAGTTGATTTATTGGCTTCCAGCTTCTTCCAGTCCATGCAGATGCCATTCCTCGAATTGCACTTCCTCGTCTGAGTCTATCGATTCGTTTCATGTTCTCAGATTGATTCTCAGTCGGTCAGTCTTGCTTCTTTTCCTCACAAATGTCTGGTGCAATCAAGTTCTGTTCTGAATGGTAACCCACCGGATCCCACCGAGTGCTCTCATCGGGTTGTCTTGGTTTTGTGAGAAGCGAGGATTCGTAGCAATTGAGGACGGGACAGGGAAGAGGGACGTAGGCGAGAAGGCAAACCAGAGATCTCTCTGCCGTTGCATTGGTGCACTTCTTCTTGCTCCATGCGTGCCTGCCTCATGATGCTGATGCTGATGATGATGATGATGATGATGATGACTATGACGATGATGACACTCAACAGCAATAACATGCTCTACCCGGCGGAGGACCGGTCGACCAGCACGCTCATGTACCGCTGCAGGAACTGCGACTCGACCGAGGAAGCCGAGTCGTCCCGCGTCTACCTCCACTCGAACAAGCAGTCGATGAAGGACGATGTCAGCCGCATTCTGTCAGACGTCGCGATGGATCCGACGCTGCCACGCACGCACGACCAGCCGTGCGCAAAGTGCGGCCAGGCAGAGGCCGTCTTCTTCCAGGCTCAGATGCGCCGCGCAACGTCAGGCATGCAGAACTTTTACGTGTGTTGCAACTGCGGCGAGCGTTGGTCGCAGACATAAAAGCGCCCGGCCCAAAAAGCCAACAACCAACAAGCAACAACCCCTCTATTAGTCTCGTTCCTGTTAACCGATTGCTGCCTTCCCTTCCTTCTCTCACCCCTAGTTTGTACAATAGCATAGATTCTAATTGAGTGTTTTGGTTTGTTTGATATTTTCGTATTCTCTCTGAGCTGGCGTTGAATCCAGGAAGCGGATTTGCAAGTTTGTATTTTTTTTTTTGTTGATAAATTCATGGAGCGCCAACTTCAAAGGCAGTCAGGCAGCCAACAATGGGGCAAAAGAGTAGCTTGGTGTGTTTTTGCGTGTTTGTGGTGTCTGTTGTTACTGGAAGGCCTGGAGCCCAGTCATGGCGCGGCCAAGAATCAAGGCGTGAATGTCGTGAGTGCCTTCATACGTGTTGACGGCCTCGAGGTTGAGAACGTGGCGGATGACGCCGTACTCGTCGCTGATGCCGTTGCCACCCAGCATGTCGCGGGCAACGCGGGCAATATCGAGCGCCTTGCCGCAGTTGTTACGCTTGACAAGCGAAACCATCTCGGGAGCAAGCTTGCCAGCATCCTTCAAGCGGCCAACCTGCAAGCTGGCGAGGAGACCAAGGTTGATCTACACAAGCAACAACCAAAGGAGGGAAACGACGCGCGGATATCGAAACAAAAAAGGGCTTGAGTGAGAAACAAAGAAAAACGTCCGGTCCGTCAGCAAATAGTCGACTTGCACAATCTTACCTCGGTCAGCATGTCGGCAAGCTTCTTTTGGATGAGTTGGTTGCTCGCGAGGGGGCGGCCGAATTGCTTGCTGTTCATGTGGAGACAGCATTGATGGTCACAACCTCGGGTTAAAATTGCGACTCTCACTTCCAAACCCCAACCCCAAACCCCCAACTTGCCCCCCCCAAAAAAAAAAGACATTACTCACCGATCAACCGTGTAGGTGCGAGCAGCTTCCATGCAAAACTCGGCAGCGCCCATGGCACCAAAGGAAATGCCATAGCGGGCGTTGGTCAAGCAGCCAAAGGGACCCTTGAGGCCCTCGACGTTGGGCAACAGGTTTTCCGCGGGGACTTCGACGTCCTGCATGACAATTTCGCCGGTGGGCGAGGCGCGGAGCGAGAACTTGCCCTCAATCTTGGGGGCGCTCAAGCCCTTCATGCCCTTCTCGAGCACAAAGCCGCGGATGATGCCGTCCTCGACGGTCTTGGCCCAGACGACAAAGACGTCTGCGATCGGCGAGTTGGTAATCCACATTTTGGCGCCGTTGAGAATGTAGTTGCCCTGCGGGGTCTTGCGGGCGCGGGTCTCCATGCTGCCGGGATCGGAGCCGTGGTTGGGCTCGGTGAGGCCAAAGCAGCCGACCAGCTCGCCGCGGGCGAGGCCAGGCAGGTACTTTTTGCGCTGGGCCTCTGTGCCGTACGCGTAGATGGGGTACATGACGAGCGACGACTGCACAGACATGGCGGAGCGGTAGGACGAGTCGACACGCTCGACCTCGCGAGCAATCAGACCGTACGCGACCGAGCTGACGCCGGGGCACTCGTAGCCCTGGATGGTGGCGCCGAGCATGCCGAGCTTGCCCATTTCGGTGAAGATGGCGCGATCGAATGTCTCGTGGCGGTAGGCGAGCTTGACGCGCGGCAGCAGCTTGCTCTGGCAGTACTCGTTGGCCATGTCGCGGACCATGCGCTCCTCCTCGGTGAGCAGGCCGTCCATGTTGAGCGGGTCGGTGTGGTTGAACTTGACAAACTTGGCCGGTCCCGGTCCGCCAGCGAGCGATCTGTGCCAAAATCTGTGAAAATGAGAAGCAGCACACATCCATACATCCAATCCACTCTACTCTTGATTGTCGTTTTTTTTTGTCTCGTTCATGCTTCTCCAAGTTGGAGACAAGTCTCGTTGTATCTGTGATGCTGAGATCCGAACTCTGGTAGCGGACCAGTGATAGATGATAAGCGAGGACTTTTTTATCCGGTTTTTAAGAGGTTTTACACAGTGTTACTGTGAGAGCGTTGTGCTCCTCGGCTGAAGGGGAATGTGCCAGTGCGGTGTCATTGTACTGAATGGCATGAGCGTCGCAGTGGATTGGGGTGGATGCGGGGGGTGGGTGGGTTTGCGCAGTGGGAGAAGGGGATGGGATGGTCCGATCACGGACATGTGCTGTGGTCCTTTCTCTCCCCCTTCCTCCACTTGTACATTGCGCACTCGGCGAGGGAGCTGCGTAGAGCGTCGATTCGAGGTGCAGAATGGATGCGCTTGCGTAAGTGCTGATGCGGTGGGGCTTTACGCAGTGGTGGCCGCAGAGGCAAAGGTACGAGCAGAAGACGCGCCGAGCGAAGCAGAGGCAATGCGACGAGCAATGGTGAGCGAAGCCATGTTGAACAACTGAATGAGGATGATACGAAGAGAGAAGAAAAAAAAAAAGAGTGGAACACTAAGTGATATTGAATATGAATAGGAATGAAGGGGGAAATCGCCGTACTGCAGGTCGCAAAGGACAGTGCTCAATGATGGACAGTTGAATGGGAACAAATTGGAGAGAGAGTCGAGCGAGAGCTGATTCAAGTCGGAGGGTTACGGGATTGACTATGAAAGCGAGAGGAAATGCAGTGCTTGTGTGTCATCTTCAAGTTGTCTCGGAAATTCTTAGTGATTCTGAGCAGCTCAGTTCTCTTTCTCTTTTTCTCTACAGTATTCTTCCCCTTTTTACAGTCACTCTCTGTACCGTTTTACGCTGCAGCAATATCATCAGCAACGCAAAGCAAAAGCAAAGCAAATGAGCAACAGCACTAGCACCCCAACTGCGCCACTCGCGCCGTCGTCGTCGGCGTCGACCAGCACCAGCCAAGCAGACGAGATTGCCGAGCTCCGTGCAATGCTCGCTGCAGCCAACGCCCGTCTCAGCGGACTCCAGCAGCAAGGCGCCATCACAACCACTGCTGCTGCTACTACGACTGGCACTGCTGCTGCTGCTGCTGCTGCTGCTGCTGCTGCTGCTGCTGCTGGTGGTGGCCCAGCGGGTGCCATTCCGCTCTCCCGCCGCCCTTCCACGGGACTGTCATGGCCAAGTAACCCAACCAAAACCCATCTCTGTCTATCTCTCTCTTTTTTTGCTCTGGGTGATGGTAATGATGATGATGATGGTGGTGGTGGTCACCGAGTCAAGTGTACCTCAGGCGCTGTTACGGTTTTCTCCGTTTCCCCCTGCTTCTTCCCCTTACTTCACCCCTTCTTCACCCACTTCACTCACTCACTCATACACTCATACATTATCGCACTCATTGTCATTGCAAATCCGAGCTCCACCCCACCAGTGTCCCGTCCTTTTGTGATAATGTCGATCACTTTCACTTTCACTTTTGCTCCTCCTCGTGTTCGCACATGGAATCGGAGATCACCCAATGCTGACTCACTCACTCACTCACTCACTCACTCTGTCTCTCTGTTGATTCTGCGTACTTTTTGAATCCAAACCCCAAACAGGTGTTGGTGCGCTCGAGCGTCGCGCAGAGTCGCGGGAAGACAACGAAGCCCGCATTGAGCGAATGGCAGCCGCCGTCCGCGAATTGCTGACATGCATTGGCGAAGACCCGACCCGCGAAGGGCTCCTCGAGACGCCCTACCGCATGGCAAAGGCGCTGCTGTTCTTCACCAAGGGCTACCAAGAGCTCCCGACAGGTAACATTTGGCACAAATGAAATCAAACGACTCGAAACATTTGCCTCGACTTACAACCTGGTTTGCGACAGAAATCATGAACAATGCCATCTTTGTTGAGGATCACGACGAGATGGTCATTGTCAAGAACATTGACGTGTTTTCAATGTGCGAGCATCACATGGTTCCGTTCATTGGCAAGGTGAGCTGCTTGTCGTGTTTTGGCGTTTCTGCCAATGTCGTATCCACCACGCCCATCCGTAAAACCCGTTATCTAAATGTGCTTGCTCGTGATTGCTGCGGGTAGTGCGCGATTGGATACATTCCGAACAAGAAGGTGCTCGGATTGAGCAAGGTGGCGCGTCTCGCCGAGATTTACAGCCGACGACTGCAACTCCAAGAGCGCCTGACCAAGCAAATCGCAGTTGCCATCCAAGAGAGCATTGATCCCCAGGGCGTTGCCGTTGTGGTTGAGTGCTCGTACGTTTTTCTTGAAGAGGGGCGCTGCTTTGGTTTTTTGGTTTGTTTCTTGGTTGCGAGAGAAAGTGCTCACTCTGTTGGTTCTTTTTTTTGTTGTTTTGATTGTCAAACCCATTCTGTCCGACACACACACACACACACACACACACCCACAGACACATGTGCATGGTCATGCGCGGCGTCCAAAAATCAGGCAGCAGCACTGTTTCGAGCTCGATGCTTGGCGTCTTCCGCTCCGACCCTAAGACCCGTGAAGAGTTTTTGACCCTCATCCGGGACAACAAATAGAGCCCTCTCTGTAGCTTTCTTTGTTGCTGTTTGCTGTTCAGTGGTCTATGGTGGTGGTTTGTAGCGTCGTTACTGTCGTCGTTACTGATATGCGTTGTTGAATCTTGTTGAAACACACACACTTTTTCGGTCTTCTTCTTTCTCCTCAGTTTCGCTCGTTTTCAATTTTGTTGCTCTTGTGTCGAACATGAGACATGCCTCACCATCCCCATCCTAATCCGTTGGGCCTCCAGTCCTTCATTCTGAATACAGCTTTTCCCGCCAAAAGAAAAGAAAAAAAAAACCGCCAATCGCAATGGCTGCGCGAAGAGCTCGCTTTGCCGCCTGCTGGGCCCTCCCCGCGACGTTGGCCGCAGCGACCGCGCGTGTGGTGTCGCTTGGCTCGGCACGCGCTGCAGTGCACACGACTGTCGCATCGCCGGCAGCAGCATCAGCAGCAGCATCAGCAGCAGTAGTGACGGACGCCGTTCCCGCCACAGCGTCGGCGGCCGACTCGCCAAGATGCTCGTCCTGCTCGCACCCAGTTCCGCGCGCCGCCCAGCTCGAGCGGCTTCGCAAGCAACAACAGCAACAACAGCAACAACCACGTCAACCACAGCAGCAGCAGCAGCAAGCAGCTCCCAACGCTTCTTCACATGCACATGGCCCAAAGCTGCCATTGCACCGCTTCAAGACCGCCGCCGTCCCTGCCGCCGCTGCCGCCGCCGAGCCCAAGTTTAATTCAAAGAGCACGTTGAGCAGTGGCAGCGGCACCAGCGGCGTGAGGCCTGGAAGCAGCGTTGCGCCGTTTGAGTTTGCGCCGTCGACGCCACAAAGCAAGACGTCCGCCTCGCCAACCACGACTCCCACTACCACTACCACTACCACTCCCACTACATTTGTCAAGGATGCAAGCAGCAGCGCCATTATCGCCGCAGTGCGCCCGGTGGCGACCGTCGAACCCGCACCGCCGTCGTTCTACAAGCGACCGCTGCCCGAGCAGCTGGTGCCGTTCTCATCGGCGGAGGGCCGCACGCTCTTCCGGGAAGCACTGGCAGGCGGATACATGGAGGGCTACTTTCCACTCGCCGAGCAGTACACGACGCAGAGCGAGCCGTCGTTCTGCGGTCCAGGCACGCTCGCAATGGTCTTAAACGCGCTCGCGCTCGACCCCAACAGAACTTGGAAGGGACCCTGGCGATGGTACACGGAGGAGCTGCTCGAGTGCTGCATGCCGCTGGAGCACATGAAGGCGCTCGGACTGCAGTTTATGGAGTTTGCCAGTCTGGGCAGATGCCACGGCGCCCGCGTTCGTGATTTCAGCGCCGACTCGTCCAGCTTGGCCGAGTTCCGCCAGCATGTCCGGGCTGTCTCGCGTGGCGAGCTGTATCATGGGGAAAACCAGCATTTGGTGGTCTCATTCGACCGGCAATCGCTGGGCCAGACGGGCATCGGACACTTTTCGCCGCTCGCTGGCTACCACGAGCAGTCTGACTCTGCGCTCGTGCTCGATGTGGCACGGTTCAAGTACCCGCCGTACTGGGTTTCCATCGAGGTGTTGTGGAGGTCTATGCTGGTCCATGATCCCACCACGAACAAGTCGCGCGGTTACTTTTTGCTTTCCAAGCTCCCGGTCGCCGTGTCCTGCCCGCGGCGCATTCGCAGCTGGGTGGATCACACCCATCGACCTGGCTCTACTACTACTACTGCTTCCACTTCTTTTCCGTCTGATGCCAGCTCGGGCCAGGCTACCAGTGGTGAGACTGCGAACAACAGCAGTTCCAATTCACCCAGTGCGCCACCGCTGCCAGGGATGACAGCCAGCAATAAGGCTGCCAAGACCGGGTCTTGCGGCTTCCGTACGCCAGATACTGCCAATGTGAATGTCAACCAGCAGTAGATGTGCGCGTGTGGATTGTGGGCAAGAAAGCGACCAAAAATGGCACCAGTTTCTTTTGCAATTTTTTCTCTCTTTTCTCTCTTCTTAACTTTCGTTTTCCATTCGCTTTTTTTTTCATCTTAACACGCTTCTTTAATATTCGAACGAAGCTTCAGTCCCCCTCCCCCACATGTTCCAACGGTCTTCTTGTTCGACACTCTTTTTGATTTGCGTTCTGCTGGCTTTTTCACTCTCTCGCTGCATAGTTGCCTTCCCACCGCCCGTGTCATCGCCAGCGTGCGTTACAGCGGTTGGTGGGAAGGACGATTTGCTGCCTGAGGATTGACCGCAGAATCAATCATTGGCGGTTGAGCTTGTTGGTTTTTGGCAACGTTGGGTTTTGCTTTGGGGTTTTGTTGTTGTTATTGTTGCTACTCTTTGTGCGAGGGGCTCGATGTCGAGTTGCTGTTTTCATTCGTGCGTCTCGTGGAGGGTTGTGCTTGCGTGGCAAGTTGCCCAATCCCACTTTTCGCCGCAAAATATGTAAATCGTGACCTGTTGAATCATGCTCCTGCTGTGACTTGACAATACACTCCAAAGTAAAAACAAAACTAGGCATCAAGCACCATCGTTTGTTTATGATATGAGACCGTCGATGCACGACATGTTTCACCGGTCATCAAGGATCCAATGAAGCAATAATGGCTCCAAAGGAGGGACGTTCATCAGCAGCTTCATCAAGACACTCAAGTGCCAGAGTAACGAGCTCGCTGACGTTCTGGAGCTCTGCTTCGGTTGGCTTGAGGGTCGAGTCCACCATGTCAGCGAATTTCTGGTTTTTAACAGCTTTTCGCGCTTCTGATTTCTGTCTGGGCCCAGCCTTGGCGGCGGTCACCAGCTCGAGCAGAATCATGCCAAATGCGTGGACGTCCGTCTTGATGGTCATTCTGCCCTCAATGAGGAACTCCGGGCACATGTAAGCCATAGTCCCTTGCACGTTTTGTGTGCGTAAATAGCTCTTCTCGTCGAGGTGTTGGGCAGCACGAACCAGGCCAAAATCAGACACTTTGGCATTGAAGTGTGCGTCCAAAAGCACATTGTCCGTCTTGAGGTCGAGGTGGAACAGTGCATGGTCAGGGAAGGCTGTTTGGACATAGTGCATGCCACGAGAGACATCGGTTGCAATGCGCTGACGCTGGGACCAGGCTAGCGGAGGGGTGTCGTTCTTGCGACTGAGACGATCGCGAACAGAACCATTCGGCATGTACTCGTACACAAGGCATCGCTCGTCGCCTTCCTCAGCATACGACAGAATGGCAATGATGTTTGCGTGGCGGAATTTGGACAAAGAGTCTAGTTCCGACTTGAATTCGACCGCGCCTTGCTTTGATTCAGCAGAGAGCCTCTTGATGGCAACATGAGTGCCAGGCATAAAGGCGCCGTACACGCGACCAAATGCTCCTTCGCCGAGCAGGGATTCAGCAGCAAAATTGTTTGTCGCGGTAGCAAGAGTTGCGAGAGGCACTTGCGTGATGGGTCCGTCAATGGCTGGCTCAAGTTCGTCGATCCGCTCAAGAGCTGATTTCAGTTCAAGATCCTTGGCAGCGAGATCGGAGCGAAGTTGTTGCAGCTCTTGATCTTTAGCAGCGAGCGCCTGATCTTTGGCAGCAAGATCGGAGCGAAGTTGTTGCAGCTCCTGGTCTTTGGCGCTAAGCTCCTGGTCTTTGGCGGTCAGCTCCTGGCCTTTGGCAGCGAGCTTGGAACGCAATTGCAGATGCTCAATTGTTGCATTCGCTGCGGCACGGGCCGCACTCTGAAAGTCAGCAGGCGATGGGACACGCTGGGTGGCAAGTGGATACTCGTCGAAACTTCAGATTTGCCAAAGCGTGAGTGGTTGTGGGTTTGGATTTGCATGATGCAAGAACCGATCAACTTGAAGAGTCTTACTCAACTTTACATTCGGCATTGCCCGTTTGCCGGAGTGAAGTAATACCAGCTTCGGTTAAGAAGTTCTGGTCCATACTGTTGTTGTCAGGATGGAGCATAAGTCTCAGGACCTTCAAAGCATCTCGAAGTGATCAATATTTACTAAAGCATAGTCAGCGTATTGTTCACTTTGACTGCCTCAGCGATCGCCTGCGCTCCAGCATCGCCAATCTGATTCTCATGCAAACTGTCCATCTCCTCCATCAGTGAGCACTCGTAATGCCCTTTGCTGAAATCACCCACTCATCGTGCATTAATCCAAGTGAGATGACTGACTCGATTAAAGTCACTGTCGTGTTCGCTTTGAGTGCTTCAACAATCGCCGTCGCTCCAGTATCGCCAATCTGATTCACACTCAGGCTGTCCATCCCTTCATCAGTGAGCACTCTGAATGTCCTCTGCCGGTGGACCGCCCACTCACATGCATCAGCCAAAGTGAGATGACTTACTCAAGATAATCCAGTGTCGTGTTCACCTTGAGAGCTTCAGCCATCGCCTGCGCTCCAATGTCACCAATCATATTCTCTCCCAGGCTGTTCATCCCCTCCATCAATTAGCGCTCTTCTGAATCGCCCACTTTCATGCATCAGTCAAAGTGAGATGACCTACTCAAGATCATTCAGTGTCGTGTTCACCTTGAGTGCTTCAGCGATCGCCTGCGCTCCGCCATGGCCAATCTGATTCGTGCCCAAACTATCCGTCCCCTCGTTCAGTGAGCGCTCTGCATGTCCTCTGCTGAGATCACCCACTCACACGCATCAATCACAGTGAGATGCCTTACTAGAGCTGAGTCACTTTCGTGTTCACCTTGAGTGCTTCAGCCATCGCCTGTGCTCCAATGTCACCAATCTGATTATCCATCAAACTGTCCATCACCTCTATCAGTGAGCACTGAATTCCCTCTGCTGGATGACCCACTCACACGCATCAATCACAGTGAGATGACTTACTGGAGCTGAGTCAATGTCGTGTTCACCTTGAGAGCTTCAGCGATCGCCTGTGCTTCAGCACTGCCAAGCTGACTCGCTTTCAGACTGTTCCTCACTAGATCGTCAGCACACGCGCTATCACACTGTGTTCTGATCAACATGGCTTCCTCTTACGTGAGCTCTCCACTCGCATTCTTGACTTTGTCATACAACTCGCGCTCGCTCTCAGTCATATCCTGATACGACAGCATCGTTGAATCAATACTGCTACACAGCAAAACGACTGTCCTGCCTCGGATAACCATGCTCGACATTTCATGTTCGTCATACAGCAGCAATACAAAATGACACATCTCTCATCTTGATCTCATGCCATGCTCAGCTCAGCTAGCTCAGCTCGAGGTCAGTCTTCTTCACGAAAATGGGCGACAACGCAATCACCGACACGGACATCAACGAGATCTACGAGATCAAGGAGGTTCTCGGAAAGTGCGTTCAACCCCCCACAAAAGTGCAACCAAATGCAATGAGTGAAACGAGAGAGAGTGAAAAGAGAGTGAAAGAGAGAGAGAGAGAGCGAAAGAGAGCGGAACGAGTCGAAGAGAGAGGAGATTGCATTGCCGCTTCCCGCTGATGAGATGGCGTTCGGCAAAGCAAGGAGAGTTGAGGGTTGCGACTCTCACACAGGCACACACAGACACACACAGACACACAGACAGACACACAGACAGCGAGCTCATCGATCCACAAACAACCGTTAACAAAATAATACAAAAAAATCATACAAAATAATACAAAATAATACAATAATCGGCTGTTGCTGAGGTCCAATGACAGGGAAGTCTCTCTCTCTCTCTCTCCCCCAACTCACCCACCGACCCCAACCTCGTGTGCATGGACGACTGCGCGACGAGCGAGAACACGAGGGATTGCAGACTGCGCGTTGAGAGGGGAAAGGGGAAGGGGAAGGTCGGTTTTGCTGCTGCTTTTGCTGCTGCTGTTCTGTTTGATCGCTCCCCCGTTCTTTGTTTCCGCTTCATGGCGGGACTCGGACGGGCGAACGAGTGCTTGCTGCCCAGTGAGCGAGAGAGCGAGAGAGAGAGAGAGAGAGAGGGACACGTCCGACAAAACAGCAGAGTAGCGACAAACAGAATTAAAAAAAAAAAAAGAAAACCACAAACTGAACAACAGCACACTACCATTTCATGACCTCACTAGTGAACTCGTCCGTACAAGTACGCTTGTCTTGAGCGCCCTCTCATACCAAATCCCGCTCTCCAACCACTCAACCTCACTCGCTCACTCACTCACTCACTCACTCACTCACTCACTCACTCACTCACTCACTCACTCACTCACTCACTCACTCACTCACTCACTCACTCACTCACTCACTCACTCACTCACTCACTCACTCACTCACTCACTCACTCACTCACTCACTCACTCACTCACTCACTCACTCACCAAATAATAATCTGTTTGTTGTTTCCATCGTCACAAAACTTGTAGGGGTGCGTTCTCGCAAGTCAAGAAATGCGTCCACCGTGAATCGGGCGCTGAATTTGCAGTCAAGGTGATTGACTTGCGCCGGGTGCCGCCGAACGAGAAGGCCAAGATTAAGCGGGAGGCGCGCATCTGCCTGATGGTCAACCACCCGAACATTGTCAAGCTGCACGAGGTGTACGAGGCGCCCCACACGTACTTTATGGTGTTTGAGCTCGTCTCGGGCGGCGAGCTGTTTGAGGACATTGTGCGCCGCACGTTCTACTCTGAACGCGACGCGTCGCACCTCATGCTCCAGATTCTCTCGGCCATGCAGCACTTGCATCGTCTGGAGATTGTCCACCGCGATCTCAAGCCCGAAAACCTGCTGCTCGAGTCGCAGCGCGACGGCGCCGACATCAAGCTGACCGATTTTGGCCTCGCAGTCATGCTGGAAAAGCAGCAAAACGAGTGGTTTGGCTTTGCGGGCACCCCCGGCTATCTGTCGCCCGAGGTTGTCAAGCGTGTGCCCTATGGCAAGCCCGTCGACATGTGGGCGATCGGCATCATCTTGTATATTCTGCTCGCCGGCTACCCGCCGTTCTGGGACGACGACACCAAGGTCTTGTACGAGCAAATCAAGCTCGGCGAGTACGAGTACCCCTCGCCCGACTGGGATGACGTCTCGAGCGAAGCCCGCGACCTGATTGACCGGCTGCTGGTGCAAGACCCGGCCAAGCGATTGACCGTCGACCAGGCGCTTGCCCACCCGTGGATTGCCCAGTCTGATCGCGTTGCACCGCACGTCCATCGCCAAGGCACGATCGAAGAGATGAAGCGCTTCAACGCTCGTCGAAAGTTCAAGGGCGCCATCTTCACTGCGATCGCCACCAACAAGCTGCTTTTCGGAAGCAAGAGCATTCTGGAGGCGGCCAAGAAGGCTGCCAGTGGCCCCGCAGACGGCAGCGCCAGCAGCAGCGCAGGAGACGCAGCAGCCGCTGCCGCCCTCGCCAATCTGACCATCGGCACCCCGACCAGCGCGGCCGAGACGCCCTCCGAGAAGCATCTCGAGTCGGTCGAAACGCTCATCCAGCCGCCTCGCTTCCAGGACGCCACGGAGGAGGAAGTGTACCAGCTGACAGTGCGCCTGCTCGAGGCCATCCACAGCGGCGACTATGGCTTGTATGCGCAACTGTCCGACGTAAAGCTGACTGCCTTTGAGCCCGAAGCCCAGGGTATTCTGGTGCAAGGCCTCGAGTTCCACCGCTTCTACCTCGAGGCGGCCAAGGCAACCCGTCGGCGCCAAGGGTCGGTCACCTCTCCCGGCCAGCACACCTTCCACCCCTACTCGACCATCGAGAATCCCCAAGTTCGCATTCTCGCGAGCGGCAGTGCGGCAGTTATTTTGTACAATCGATTGACAATGTCCTTGTCAGCAGACACCGGCAAGCCCACCACACACCGGTACCAAGAGACTCGCATCTGGGAGAAGCACGGCACCACCTGGAAGCAAGTCCATTTCCATCGATCATCTTAAACTTGTCTCTGCAAACGCAGCCGCGGTTTCAATTTGTTTGGGTTTTTTTACGATGCGGGGTTTTTCGAATTTTGGATTAATGTTTTTGCTGTTGTTGCTGGGGGGGGGGGGTAAATGCTTTTGTGCAGTATGTTGGTAATGGTTGTTGCGGTGGGGTTTTATCTTGGTTTCAGATGAAGGAGCAACATGCTGCTTGCTTGTCCCTCTTGCTACAACGACAATGAAAGTGTGTCCTTTTTGTTTTCCCCAGTGTTTAATTTCTTTGTTGTTTGTGTTTGTTGGGTTTGTGACCAAAAAAAAAAACTACTAAACACGAGCCTCAGGTCCATCATCGTCGCCAGCAGTTTCACCAGAAGCCAATTCGTCCTTCATGATTTTGATGCGACCAAGAACAACCATAGCAAGGTCGAGGCGGCCCGCTCTTTTCGCGCGGAGCGCAAGCTGCTTGTCCGACTCCAGCTTCGCCTTGAGGTTGCTAATGTATGTATCGACATCCAGTTGCCCAGTTTGCACCGAAATTGTCAGCAATTGCAGCTTGATGTCAATCGAGCTCTTGCGATCCACCAAATCCTCTGGTGCGGGCTTTCGTGCTGCAGCAAGCGCGGCGAGTTTCTTGTCCACCTCTTCTTGCTCGTGCTCCAGCACATCGTTACTGTAAAGATACTCCGGACTGTTCAAGGGGCAAGTACCGTCGGAAAAGGTTAGAGTCCTGTGCGACCACCAAAACAGGGGTTGCTCGGAAAGTCACTTACTTGTTCACCAAGTCCTCCAGCTCCTCAATATCATCAGCAGAGGCTGCTGCAGCGGCCGCGTTGCCTGCAGGTTTGGCAGCGGCGCTGCCGGTGCTTGGAGTCTTGGCTGCCGGTGCGGCTGCCGATGCAGCAGCAGCAGCAGCAGCAGCTGGTTTGGCAGGTTGGGCCTGCTTGGACGCTCCCGTCGACGTCTCGAGGATGAGCCAGCGTTCTCGTCGCACTTGGCGATCTGGTGTCAGCAGGGGTTCGCGCAATCGAATCAGACAGTCAATTTTGGCACCGGTGGGCTTCCTGCGGTCGCAGACAAACTGTCACGGAAAGGGCAAGTGAAGCACGGGTGAGCAAGCATGCATCGACACTCCAACGCGCAAGATATCGGACGATGGCCTGTACCTCAGCGGTGGCAGCAATTTCAGAGAGGCGCTGCAAATCCAGCACCTTGACCTCCGCAGTACCAATCGTCGTGTCTCGACTGAACAGCCCTATTGTTTTCTTCTGCTGCACAAGAGTAAAGTGGACGCCGTGCCTGTTTGTAAATCGCTCAAAGGACTTTTTCCTCTCCGTCACGAATTTGACACGTTGGTTGAATTCTGTGGCGAGCAGAAAAAAAAGAAACCGGACGAATGAGCGCAAAGCAAAGGCCATCCACCAAAAAAGCTACGAGGCTGCCTGTTGTTCTTACCAGGGCTGCGAGTGCCTTTGATGCTGCTGACTTCATCCTGTTGAAACTCGGTCTCAGTGCCAGGCTTTGGATAATCAATCCGGCAAACGACCTTCAGATTCAAGCCAGATTCATCCGTGACTCCAGCAGCGGCAAGTGGCACGTCGCGAACTTTCAATACGGTGACTTCAAAGTCGGACGCGGTGAGCTCCAAGAACTTTCTGTGAGGGTTTGTGCGAGATGTCGTTGTTGCAAAAAAATGGTGAGACGGACGCGTGTTGTGTTGAAAAAGTCTCGCTCAGCAAGGAACGAGCTGCCATCGTACCGGTTGTAACTGATCTGCTTTTCCTCATAGTGGAAGCGTGGTGGTGGCAAGTTGTGGAGCCGTGAATTCACAACAATGTCCTTATCTTGCATAAACCGCGTCTTTTCAGCAGGCAGGTTGATGTCAGCGCAAAATGCAATCTGAGCATCCAGAGCCGCGAGTACGCGATCGTACATGGCTGACTGCTCTGCGGGCGATCCGGAGCTTGTCTACAAACCAAACAACAACAGCCAAAGTATAAGTGTCTGGCGTGTAGGACAAGGGAAATGACACCATTTGTTCCATTACCTCCCCGGCAGAAACGGCAACGGTGGATAGCCCAGATTCACGGGACGGCGCTGCCGAGGCCTTGGCAGCACGAGCAACTGTCGCGGACGCGGCAGAATACTGGGCATTTGCTGCAGCAGTCAGTCGTGCAGTTGTGGTGGCGGGATTCGGCTTGGCTGCAGCTCCTGCAACGGTTTGCTTTTGTGGAGCAGGGGCGGATGCTGCTGCAGGCGTGGCGACTTGGGCTTGTGCGACAGGCTTGTTGGACTGCTGAGGCGCCGTAGCGGCGGCAGCTGGTGCAGAAACCGCTGCAGGTGGCGGCGCCGAGGTCGAGCTTGGAGCTGCAGGCAGGCACGACAGCTCGACATCTTCCCCTTCAGCGAGCCGATCAATGAAAGGCTGCATGCCATTGGCAATCAACAGCAGTTGCCGCGCACTATCGAGCTGATTGTTGCGTTTGCTGGCAAGGGCGGCCATCTTGTACTCTTTCTGACGAGCGCTGAATGTGGCCAGCTTTTGAGCGGGGCTCGCTACCGAGGGTGGCGCCGGTTTGTCCTCATTGGGCTCGTCCAACAAGGAGCGTGGTGCAGACTGCTGTGCAGCAGGTGGTGGAGAAGCAGATGTCGACGCAGGCCGAGCTGATGGTCCGCTCGAAGGTCGTGGAGCGGCAACGGGACGAGGGGAAACAACCGCTTTGGTTGCAGGAGCACTTTCCTTCGCAGGCTCTTCCTTCTCCTCGGCCTTGTCTTCATCATCATCATCATCATCATCATCATCATCAGGATCTGATTCGTAACCGAGGTCGCGCAATTCGCCCTAATACAGGCCCAACATTAACATGGGTGAGAACGAGCTGTAAAATTTCAGCACCATCATGATCAGAATCAACGAAAGTAACATTGCGTACCAGCAACGATGGGTCGTTCAGATCGTCTTCAGTGAGCTCGACATTGTCCTGGTCTCCTTCATCGATGTCCAAGTCGGGGATGTTGACCGCTACAACAAGCAACAAGCAATGCAAAGCCAGTGAGTGTGATTGTTTTCAACATCCGCTCGAGCACATCAGCGATGGATTGTTGATTCCATCCATCGTCATTTGCACATGGCTCTGCACACAACTCTGCGCCCTTCTCTGCATCTGAGCTGATGACGCACCTGCTGAGCTGGACTTGCTGGGCTGTGATGACGGCTTCTGCTGCTGCGATGGTTGCTTGTGTTGCGGTTGTTGCTGCTTCTGTGGTGTGCGCTGCTTGGCACTGGCAGCACCAGCACCACCACCAGCAGCAGGAGTCGGGTTGCCGCCTGTGAGTGCGAGCAGCTCGGCTTCGAGCGCCGGGTCGTTCAGGTCGTCATCGTCGCCGCCGCCGCCGCCAAACGCAGCCATCTGCCGCTCCAAGTCCTCGTCCGACATCATCCCCATCCCAAAGCCACCATTGCTACCACTGCGTGACGATGATGACTGCCTTGGATTCTTGGCCGACGACGACGACGCTGCCGGCGAGGGCGAGGGCGACGATTTGCCCCAGCCAAACATCAATGCTCAAAACCGAAAAAAAAAAAAAAAAAAATGACTGGATTTCCATTGCGATTGGTGATTTTTCCTACTTGCACGATCCTGATCAAACTAAGTTTGCTTTTTGTCAATTTTGGATCTTGGTTGAACGTTGCTTCGAATTTGGTCAAAAATTCGTCCAGGAGCAGTCTTAGAATTACTGCAATGGTAAACGACTGCGAGATTTGGCGAGAATTGGAAGAGAGAGAGAGAGAGAGAGGAAGGACGGGCGTCCATGCCAACGTTATGCCTGAATGGAATCAGACAGAAACACACAGAGACACACAGACTGAACAGAATGAACAGAGAGAGAGAGAGAGAGAGAGAGAGAGAGAGAGAGAGAGCTTCAGTGCAAAGTGCATTACGAGATCTCTCTCTCGCTCTCTCTGCCCCCTCTTGTCAATGTCGCTCCGCTCTGCTGTCGTTGTCGTCGTTGCATTTGTCATGTCTTGCTGCTCGCCTTGTGTTGGTTTGCACACTGGCACAGCATTGAGCTGCAGCAGCAGCAGCAGCAAAGATCCTTCCCTCTTTGCTTTTGCTGCCACGTCCACCTCAACTCCAACGCAACGCGCAACTCCGAGTGACTGCTACTCTCATGGCTCACTCTCTGCTCTTGTCTGTCTGAACTCTCGCTCTCAAAACTGCGCAGGCGAGTCTCGCTAGCATCAAGGCCGTGCTCACGCTCGACAACGACGGCGAACGCGTCCTCTGTCGCTACTTTGACCCCGCTTGGATGGCCTCCGTCAAGGAGCAGCGCGCGTTCGAAAAGAGCCTCTTTACAAAGACCTATCGTGCTGCCTGTAAGTCGGAAACAAGCTCCAGTCAAGAGATATTCGTTTGTTTGGTCTCTGCAAGATTGCTCTTTTTCCGTGCTCACTCACCGTGATCAATGGCGTTGTGATCAACGCAACAACTCCCGCAGCTGATATTATCATGCTAGAAGGCGTCACCTGCGTATATAAGAGCAGCGTCGACCTCTTCTTCTACGTGATTGGCGCCCCCGACGAAAACGAACTTTTGCTCTCGTTTGCACTCAACACATACTTTGATGCCTTGGCGCAAATGCTGAGGTAATAATCGCCAGAGCGTGCATGCCTGGACACGCTATTTGCAGCCAAGAAAACACACACCATGTGGTGAGGGGTGACTCATTCGCAACGTTGTGTGTGTGTTTTTTTTTTTTTTTCTTGAAACAGGAACCAAGTCGAGAAGCGCGTCGTTATGGAAAACTTTGACGTGGTTGCCCTCGCATTGGACGAGCTGGTTGATGGCGGGTGAGTGTAGCATCGTGTTTTGCGCATGTGATGGGCTCTGTGAGCGACGCATCTGACTTGCCTGCTTCTGTTCATTGTCAAAGCATCATCCTGGAGGCCGATCCTGCCGTTATTGTGCAGCACGTCGCCGTGCGTAACAACGACGAGGTGCCGATTGCCGAGCAATCAATTTCGCAAGCCCTGCAAACAGCAAAGGAGCAGCTAAGTCGCTCGTTCTTGAAATAACGGCTGGGCTCCAGTATTTCGGCTCTCTTGCTTGTGGGGTTTCATGTTTTAGTGTCGTCTTGTTTGGAGAGGGCGGGTCATTGTCACCAGTCCCCGCACCATTCCGTGTTGCCGGTGCTCTTCGCTTTTGTCGAGCTGTGCTGGTAGTTTTTGATTGTTTTTGTTGTTCTAATTTCTTATGTGTATTGATCAATGAACGCTTTTGTAACAAGCTCAGCACTTCACGAAACGAGAACAACCAAAACTAAAAAAAGCAAAGACAAGCGAGAAACAGAAAACATAAACAAACAAGAAATCGAATAGAGAAAAAAAAATCACACAAAAAACCAGAACAGAACAGAAACAAACAGCACAGTTGTTTTAAAAATATCAGCTCGACGCCTTTTTGCTATTATACTCAATCCGGTAAAAGGACGACACGCGAGATCCTTCTTCATCCTCGAGGTTGGCAGAAACGTAAATGGCATTCTCCTCGTGCAACAACACCACAGAGCTTTGGAAGGGCACTGCCTGCAATGATGCGCCATTAAGCAAGCTGCGCAGTTCGATCGTGTTGTTGGTGAAGCCCAGAAGATGCGATGATGTTGTGACAACTACGATCAGAGAGAGAGACAAAAGGTGAGAACACGCCCATTTGCCTCAATTCAACCAATTGGAGTTCAACCACCTACCAACGCCATGGGGAACAGCAGACCATTTGATGACGAGGTCTCGTGTTTGGGCGCCCTTGTAGTCAACAAAAGTTGTCAAATCTGCAACAGTACCAAACCATGTTCGAGTTAGCAACAAGTTCTTTTGGTTCTATTTTTCATCACAAAAACTCCCGCCGAGCATTGATTCATCACTTACTATTGTAATTCACTTGCAACGTCGAGTTCGTTTCACCCTTGGTGATGGATTGAATGCCAGCCTTGACGCCGGCTTGGGGCAGAATGCTCGTTGTGACATTGCCCGTCTCCATGTCGAGCATGTTCAGTTCCCCGCCGACAGCAACCGCAACGCCCTGCCAGGAGAACTTCAAATGGGTGCACTGCTCGGGCAGGAAGAGCTCGCGGGTCCGGACAAACTCGCGAGTGCCGAGCGACCAGTTGTACATCATGACGCTCTTTCGAGTCGCCACGCACAGAATGGGGCGATGCTCGTCATTCCGATCTTGCGACGGCCGTCCGAAGGAGGTCGAGTGCATGACAGGCGCGGGGGAGGCAACATTTTGCGACACCTCGGCAGGCAGCAAATCCATCACGACGCACCCGCGAGAATGGCTCAACTTGCGGCCCTTGCAAGCCGCCATGACGCCGTGCTTGGAGGATCCGGCAAGAATGTCATCTAGTGCATACAGCATGACGTAAGAGTGGCCGCCACGCTTGCAACCAAGCGCAGCAAGTAGGTTGAGATCGCGGCGAACGGCCAGTTTGCTAAAGCTTCGGCGCTTTTCGGTGCGGATTTCCTTGACGTCAGAACCAAAGTGCCACTGCCACATGAACAGACCAAAATCGGTCCCTAGCAAAATGACATCGTCGCTCAAACGGGCGGCGCAGAGAATCTCGTGCGGGAAATCGGCCAGTAGCGGCGTGACCGTGTACAAATCCGAGAACAGCGACGTGGTCGCGCCGCCCACAGTCTCGCCGGCGCCTTGGCTGCGCATGCTGGTAATGCTCACGCCGGAGGACGGCGCAGAAGGTGACGTGCTGGGTGGGTTGATGCTGCTGCCAGCCTCGGCCAGGAGCGCGGCGCCGTTGGTAATGTAGACCGACTGCGGCGTAATGTTGAGCCGCTTGGTCATGGAGCTCTTCGAGCCAGACTCAAAGTACTTTTCGTGAATGTACTTGAGAATGGTTGTCAAGGTGCGCACGGAGCGCGCTTGGAAGGAGTCCGACACGTAGGTGGAGGTTTCGCCGTTGATCAGCTTGGCCAGCAAGAATTCTCGCATGGCGGGGCCGGAGCGGAAGACTGGCGGATTGGGCACTGGCGGGCCAAACTTTGGCACCTTGTCGCTCGAAACGACATGCACACGGTACTGCGTAGTCATGCCACCTTCGGCGTCGAGCAAATCCTCCACATCCGCGACAACCACCTCTGGTTGCACGACGGCAAAGACGTGCAAAAAGTGGGACGAGATGGCCTTTGGGGAGAACGGGGTGGTGCCGTCCACAAAGACGATGGTTGCAATGTCGTTGCCAATGTGACGCTTGCGCTCCAGCTGCTGCTTGTCCGCTTCATTGTACGGCAGCATCGTGGAGACGTGGAACATGATCTCGTAGCCGCGATAGGCCGTGTAAATCGAGTGTGTGCCAGTCATGCCCTTCTTGGTGTCGAGACCCGCGCGGAACTTGGACCAGTTGGCCAGCTCGATCTTGTCGCCGAGTGCCAGCATGAAATCATCAAAGCTCTTGGAGCCTGTTTCGTTGCAGAACATGTCGTTGTCCTTCAGCTGGCCGTCTTTGGCGTAAAGGGCGCCAAACTTGAAGCGCTTGCTGGTGATTGTGTCCTCCATCGCGACAAGCTGCTTGACAAAGTCGTCGGTGAGCTCGTCCACCTCGCGGAGCTTGATGCCAGTGCGCTCGGCAAGCGATGGGCAGGCAGCCGCGAGCAGGTCGGACGGCGACAACGTTTCCTTCTCGTTCTTGACGGGAACAATGATGCGCTCGATGACCGTCGTCCGCCAGACAATCGTGCGGTACTGGTACGAGTGGGTCAAGTGGGTCGACTGCTGTTGCTGCAAGGGGTTGCCGAGACGGTCCACCTCATGGATGACGGACAGCACGAACGGGCCTTCCTCTTCCTCAAAGCCGACAAAGTTGCTGTGTGTGCGCCCTTTGAAATAGTTGCTGTACCAGCACACTTCCAGCTCTGGGTTTTCAATGAGAATTTGGTCGTGCGTGTCATTGGCACTGCGCTCGCGACCCGTCTCGACGCGGAAGCCTTCCACTGCGGGAGCCAGCACGCGGCCGTGAACGTCGCCAGTATAGGAAGGGTCGTTGGAGAGCATGGCTGCCGCTGCAGCAGTGCTTGATGTGGGACCAGCGGCGTTTGGTGCGCGCCCACTGGTTGCCGCCGAGCTGCCTGCGACAGTCGCGACAGCCGCTGCGGCGGCTGCAAGCTGTTGTTGCTGCTGTTGCTGTTGGCGCGGTGGGGCTGGCTTTGGTGGCGGGGTGGCTTTGGCGAGAGGCGATGCTGCCACAGTCGATGAGAGTGGTGCTGCTGCTGCTGTTGGGGATGCAGGTCCAGCGACCGACGGCACGGGCTGCCTCGATTTGAACGCATTCGACGACTTGAGCTGCGCGGAAATGGCAGAGTCGCCGCCTTCGGCAGTTGCTCGTGTCGGCTGCCGCGTCTTCCACAGCACAACACATGTAATGTCTTTGGGAGTGGGGTTGTTTGGGTAGTAGCTTTCGCTTTCGTACATGGTCTCGACATTCCACCCGTTGAAGCTGAAAATGTTGAGGAGGGTGCTCAGCGGCAAGTGGCGATTGACAAACCAGCCGCGCTCATCGCGCGTTTTGTCTTCCTTGGGAACTCCGTGGCCCAATGCGCGCAAAATCTTTGGGTGCACGTCTCCCACAATGCGGATGCCGTTGGTGACAAACCACTCTGCGGTCGCAAACTGCTTGATCGGCTCGGACGGCTTTTGTGCAGCTGTCGTTCGAGTTGTATCTCGTGTGCGAGCCTACCACAAGAGGGGGGTTGCATTCAGTCAAGGTTGGTTTGGTGAGGCGCGAGAAGTACGGTGTGAGCGAAAGGTGGAAGGGGGAAACACCGATCGAAACACAACAAAACAACCCCACACAGCGCGCGCAACACTCCTCTTACCTGATTGATGACCCGGATCCAGTCGTTCATATCTTCATCCGAGTCTGCGCACATGTAGTACACTCGCGCTTCGTTGTCCTTGCTCTTGAGCGCAAAGCAGTGTGGCTTTTTCCGCTCGTTGGTGGGCTCGGCAGCAGACAACTCTTCGACATAGATTGTGCCGGCAGGGGCTGCATCGCCGCGCGCCTTATAGTAGCTGATTGTGTTTCCCTTGAGAATAAACCAGCGCTTCTTCCACGATTTGTACGAGCCACCTGCGCCAGAAAATAAAAAAACAAGACCGAGAATCAAAAATTGCACGAAAATTAGTACTAGTGAGACCATCCCCACCCCCACCACCCCCACTCCCGACCAATAAGGAGGCCAACGCTGTGCAAGTCAGCGACTGAATGACTCGAGTGACTTGAATGATTCCCTACCTTCTTTGGTCATGAAGCCTTCCTTGACGATCGCAGCATTCACGCCCGTCGACGCCGCTCCAGCCGACATGGTTTGCTATTTCTTGTTGCTATTTTTGCCTTTGTGTTGCGATTATCTTGTCTCTGTACCAAACAAGTCCAAACAAGTCCAAACAAAAGTCAGCGATACCAAATTTTCAATGCATTTTCCAATGGTTTTTTTTTTATTTTTTTTTTTTTTGGTTTTTTTCCATTGTCAGATTTTGTTTGTCTGGTTTGCTGTTGCTCGGAATCCCTTGCCCCGCTCCACCGGCCACTTTGACCGATTGCCTGCTTCCTCCTCTCGCCGGAATCGCTCGCCATCAGATCAGAAGCAGCTTCTCCCCGCCTCCAGCCCAGCTGACGATGGGATGGTGTTTGGCTGGTTGTGTTTTTCTCCTGCTTCGTCCTTGTCCTCCTTTCCCTTTCCCTCCTTCATGCTGCTTCGCTGCCGTTTTGGACTTGGGGAATCCGAGCTACCCCTTCAGTAGCCGAAACAAGGCTGGCGGCAATGTCGGCTGCTGGGCTCGGAATTGGAACGCCCGGAATCGCATGTTCAAGATTTGCAGCACTTGCTTTACTGGGAAATAGACTGACCAAACCTGAACGGACGTGACTTGGAGTTGGGGATGTGCAGGACCCATTTGGATGGCCATATCACGCGAGCGCTCTTCGATGAAAATGGCATGCGGAATATTAAATACTGGCGGAGGGTTGGAAGAGATGCCGAGACGCGAGGATTTTGGTTTTCTCCAACCACGACACAAACACGACCGAAGCGATCGCAGCAACCAAAGTCAATCAGCTCAGCAGCGCAATCCGTGCTGGAAAAGGAACAAAAGGGTGGAAACATTGCGACTCGCAATAAAACACAAATGACGGGGAATTTTTTTTCTTGTTTTCATCAGACAATTCAAACAAACAAAACAAAAACGGGGGGAGGGAACACTCCAGACAAGAGTTAACTCTGCATGGCTGCTTGCTCCTCGCCAGCCTTGACATAGAGAACATTGTTGCATCTGCGAAACGTGGGCGAAGAGCGGATGACAAACACACAAGCAAACAAAAAAAAAAAAAACAAGGACAAACGAAACAGTGAGCCGAGAGAAGCTTTCGCCATCACCATCACGCAACAACACAGAAGCCGGGTTGGCAGCAGACCGCTAACGTGTCGAATCACACGTCAGGTGGCTGCGCAAACCCCAGATTGCAATCCAACTCAACGACCTACCGGATCAAAACCTCGCCAAGTCGGTGTGTTTCTTCGCCATCAACGTGCTCGATCGTGTTGCCAAGCTGCTCGAGCGAATGTGAAAAGCAACAAGGGAAGCGGAATAAAATGCAAGTGAGCGAACGTGGAGCATCAACACTTCGTGACAAAAGGAAACGGAAGGAAAACAAACAACCCCCCCCCCAACCAAAGCACGACGACGTCAAAGCTCCCGTGGGTATATAGTTGGCGATGCTCCCAATAAAGTAGAGCATTGTCAGGAACGCGCAAGATCGTGGAGCAACAAGATGGTCGAGCGATCGTCCCAAAACTGAGACCAAGCGTCAACTCGCTCTCGCTCTGCTGTTCGCTTGAGACGCCAGCTTGCCCATACTTTATTCCCACGCGATGTGTCGCAGTATCAGGACGCGGATGAGGGTTGGCGTTTCCAATGGATCAAACGCACAACGACGAACGACGATCGTCCATCCGCCCAACTTTCTCTCGCTCGCTCATGCACCCGCGTCCAATTCCCCAATCCATCCATTCAAGTCGAGATGTGCCCCCCTCGCCCCCTCGATGCTGCGCGACAGTCACCCAAACAGCAGAGAAACGAAAGGCGACAAAGAAGAAGGAAAAAAAAAGCCAAAATCTCTCTCTTTCGCTCTCAGCCTCAACGGCTCAAGCTCAGTGCGGCACTGTGCATCGCCAGCAAGATCGCGGCTGGTTGGGCACAACGCGGGGGTGCGGAGAGCAGGAGGCAAGGAAGGGGAGATGTTCGGCAGACCTGCAAGTTCATGTAGCCGTCGCTCGCGAGCAGAGTGCCATGGTACTCTTGGCCCCACTTGAGCTTGACGATGATCGGCTTGCCAGAGAGCGATGCCAGGAATGGCTTCGGGTTGATTGGGTTGAGTGTGCTCTGTCAAGATGGTTGCACAAGGAGAAAAAAAGGAGGATCAGGGAATGGTGAGATTGTGAGACAGAGAGGGGAAGGAGCAGCATGGAGAGTTGAGCTCTCTTACCATGACGAAACGAGACTGAGGTGCGTTGCTTTTGTTATTTGCAGAGTGATGGAGGAGATGATGAATCAGGCGAGAGTGTTATGATGGGGATTGTTCTACTGCTGGGAGAACGAGATGATGCACAAAAATGAAAAACGAAAGCTCAAATAACAAGTCCAACTTCAAAGGCCCTGAATGCACCCCATCGCATGCTCAAACAGACATGGAGAAAAGTATCGTATCGAAAATTGTATTCAGGCACAATTTGCCAGACCAAAGACAAAATCCCGATTGCAAAAAAAGAAGAAAAAATCAACCTTTTTGCTTTGAATCGCGCAATTCAGCTTTAGGCGGTGGCGGTGGGGGCAGCGGCAGCGGGGGCAGCGGCAGCAGCGGCGGGGGCAGCGTTGTGGTGAGTGTTGCGGGGGCGACGCTCGCGGTAGGCAGGGGCCGAAGCGGAGATGGCGTGAGCAGAGACAGCGACGCGGGGAAGGCTGCCAAAGTTCATCTCGCGGAGCATGGCTTGGGTGTCGGCGTCGACCTCGATGGTGTCGAGATCGATGGCCGATCGCTCGGGGACGAAGTTGTCGCGGCGCTCGCGCTCCTCCTCCTGGAGCTTGATGGAAATGCCACTGCATGTTGCAAAAAGGAAAGAGGAAAAAAGCAATCCAACGGGTCAGAACATGCAAAGATAACACGAAACAAAAGAACAGAGGCGTCTTCTCGCTGCTCGAATAGCACATAGTGGAAAAGAAGAAGAAAAAAAAAGGAGGCAGAGCGCCACGAGCGAACCAAAGCGAGGGAGCAGGGAAAAAAAAAAAAAAACTTTGCCTCAGCTCCAAAAATCAAAGCGACGACTCACCGGACGGGGCCACGCTGGATGCGCTTCATGAGGTGGGTCACGAAGCCGGCAATCTTGTTGCGGAGCGGCTTGGTGGGGATGATGGCGATCTCATTGACCACTCGCTTGTTGGTGTGGAAGTCAAGAGTGAGGCGGGGGTAGTACTTCTCGATGATGACCCGCGAGGCCTTCTTGACGGTCTTAGTGCGAACGCGACCCTGTACAACGATTCAGTCAAGTCCGCCAGAAGGGGGGGGGTGAGTCCGCGAGCAAGGCGCGAGAAGGAGGGGAACAAGAGCCAAAAAAAAAAAAAAAAAACGGTCCCGCGTCTGTTGCTGCTGTTTCTCGACACAAAGAGCTGCTGTACGACCGCCTGGAGGTGGCTCGGACGTGAGTTGGGCAGCCCAACAGTCCCTGGCGATCGAGCGGGACGATCAAAGCGGCACTGGAGAGCCGAGAGGGCTGTCGACGAGCTGAAAACCCGGGCCAAAACGCAATCCGCCAACACTCTTCCCCCTCGACCGGTCGCCTTTCGACCGCCGCCTCCACGATTCCGCTGCCCCTTCCGCCCCGATGCTGTGCGAATCCGCTGTAGTATGTCGTTCTGTATCGGATTGAGTCGTCCCGAGGGGAGGGTGCACCTACCATGTTGTGCTAGGAAGAGAGAGAGAACGAGCAACCCAAAACGATCAGCAAAACATTTCGAGTTTTTGGATTTTGATTTTTTTTTTTTTTTTTCGTTCATCATTGGACTTTGCATTGAATTTCAAAGCGAGCTGTTTTTCTCGGCTCCTGTTCGGTCCTTCAAGCGCGCAGCCATCACCATAAATCTTGCGAACGGTGGATGAAGCTCTGAGCTGGTTATTACTCGACCGACCGGTGTTGAGCTTGGCCATTCTTCCCGTCGTTGCTCAGCGTTCAATTGAGCTGCGTATTGACGGATCCATCATGGCGCGTACATCTAGGGACGCGAATTAACTTGCGTAGGAGCCCAGGATGGAGGAGAGGAGCGGAGGGAATTTGCCAAATTGGGCGCATCTCAGCAGCTCAGCGTTGACAGGTCCAACTTTGGCTGTTCCGATTGCAGGCGCCCTCCCCTCTCCCACCTGCTCCTTTCCCTGCCACAGCTATCTTCCATCCACACTCACAATTCTCTCCTTGCGCGACCAAGTCAAGTCGGGAGATGCTGAGGATGGATTGATGACAAGGAAAAGCCTCACTCCTCTTCTTCCTCAGCGTTCAGACCCCCGAATCATGCCATTCGGCGGACCTCTATCGCAGGGGCCGCCTGCCCAGCGACGCAAGCGCCACCAACCCAAGCGCAAGTACGCAGGCGAGGCCAAGCGCGAAGGGCTGCGACTGGCTGCGATCGCTGCAGCTGCCCCGGCTCCAATCCCGCCAACGCAAGTCCAGGCCCGCCGGCTCTATGTGGGCGGCCTGCCGCTCGAGGTGTCCGAGCACGACGTGCAGGAGCGCTTCAAGTCGTTTGGCGCAGTGAAGGCCGTCCAGCTCATCCGCGACCACGAGACTGGTAAGGCAGCAGCACACCAGGCGAAAAAAGCACATGGACGCTAGCCGACAGCGTCCACCTTCGCTCACCACCACCTCAACCTGGCATCAAAGCCCCAACGAACAACTTGAGTCTGAATTCACATTCACTCGATATGCTCGATTGCTGCGTTTTGGCGTTTTGGGGTGGGAGGTGGATTTGGCCGAGTTCTAAGCTCACCCTTTTTGCCTACCTTTGGTTTGTTTCACGCTTACATGCATGGATGTGATATATTCGTCTGTGTGCGTGTGTGTGCCTCGACAGGTGAGTCGCGAGGATTTGCCTACCTCGACGTGGATTACACCGAAAACAGCTTGAAAAAGTGCATGAGCGTCTACGCAAACGCGCGGTGGAAGGGCAAACTCGTCCGAGTGCAGCTCGCCAAGGAGAGCGTCCTGGTGCGCCTTCAACGAGAGCGCGAGGAGGCCCAGGCACTGAAATCTGCCTTGAAGACTGGCGGAAGTGCGGCTGTGGCAAAGCTTTTGCGCGCTCAAGCCGCAAAACTCAAGTCTCCCGCTGCTGCTGCGCTTGCCAAGGCTCGCGGCGCGCCCTCTCGCGCGTTCAAGCAGCGTGCCGCAAACCCGCGAATGCGCATCAAGCCGCCGAGTCCATTAAATCGTGTTACGTCCAAGTCCATCACAATAGCCAAGTTTGTGCGCCCAAAGTACGGGGTAGCGCAGCACCGTCCCTCGGACATTTTCTGCTCGGCCCGCGCAATCAAGTCGCTGGTGCGCCAATTACAACTCAACGGCCTGCCCATCATGGGTTTGGCGAGTGTTCCATTCCGTCCGCCCGCTTCCGAGGAAGAGCTCAAGACGCGCACCAAAAGCAAGGTTGGTTTTTGCGGTTGCTTTTTGCGATTGGTTTTTGCGGTTGCTCTTGGTTTCGCGTGCTTCTTCTCGGGCCTCGTCTCAATGGTGTGGATTTTTTTTGATCTTATGCCTGCGTTTGCGTTGACAGGGCTGGATTGCGGGCAAGTATGGCCGCATGATGACAATTTTCCGAATCCGAAGACGTGATGGCCAAAAGGTACCTTGTGGTTTGATATCTCTGCATACGACAGTTGGAAAGCTGGATGAGTTTATTCACGGAGGCTTTTGGTGGGATTTTGCCCCGGTTGCTCTCTGGCTCCGTAGATTATCAAAGTCAACCCGGCAAAAACACAGCACCAACTGAAAGTATTCAAAGACGAAGAGCTCTTCACAGCGCCAGTCATAGTAACAGAAAAGCAACGAGAGCGCATTGTGTCGCAGCAAAAGCAAGTCATGTCGTCGCTCCAGGCTCCACCGCCAGTACCGGCGGCCGCTCCCGAGCGCGAAGAGCTGAGTGAAGTTAAGGTAGGGGATGTCGAACGAACCGAAATCTGCCGCTCGAACAAGAAGAAATTTTTGTGCTCACATTCCTGATTCTTCTACACTCAACTTGCACAGAGTCGAGCAAAGGAAAAAGCCCTCAAGAACGCTCAACGCAACATTGATGAAGACGATGGCGATTTCTGGGATAAGCTCCGAGCAGGCAAGCAGCCCGCTCCGGACCAAGTCCCTGCTGTTGTTGCTGCTGCTGCTGCAAGCGCGGCTGCGCCCATTCAGCCCACGAAACGTGGGGCGACCGAACCGCCAACAGCGGCTGTTGATGTGGCTCCCAAGAAGGCGAAACTGTGGTTTGAGGATGACTCGGACGACGAGGACAATGATGCTCGCAAAAAGCAGGCTCGCAAGGCCAAGACACCATCCCAACCGTTTGGCGAATTCGACAGCGGATTGTCAGTCGAGCCTTTGGCGTCCCACCACCAGGGTATTGCGGCGTCGTCGCGTGATACGAGCAAGTCTCGTGTGCCCGAGGATGACACGCAATCGGAGACCAGGAAGGTCCGCGCCTCGGCGTGGCTCGGCTCTGATGACGAGGACGATGACAACAGCCATAAGGGTTTGCTGGGTAACGATGCGGATGAGGCTTTCGGGGTGCGAAAGGCTTTCGAAGGCGCCAAAGGGCAGGAAATGCTGCAATTGCAACGCAAGATTGGCTCCGATCCTCGGTTCCGCCTCGATGATCGATTCGCTGTTAATTTTGGAGAGGCTTCGCATGAACAAGAAAGCGATGACAACCAAGACATTGCCTCTCAACAGCAGGATCCCGAAGAAATCAATCTGCAGCGCGAGAAGGACCTGGCGATGGCCGTGCTTCGCTCCATTGTCCCGCAAGCTGCGCCAACCAGCAAGGCGGCTTTCGTGGCGGCAGCTGTGGCATCGTTGACGCCCTTCGCCGGTGCGCCAGCGCAGCGATCGAAAAACTACTTTCCCGATATTGCCACAATCCGGTACGATCCCAAGCGTGCGGACTCGCAGCGCTTTGAGCTTGGCTTTGGCCGCGACGAAGCTGCCGAGAAGGACGAGAACAGCAACCGAAAGACGAAACTGTCGACCAGAGCGGGAGATTATGACGACGACGATGATGACGACGACCACGACGACGACCGCGACGACGACCGCGACAATAAGAAAACCGCTCCTCAATCAGTGTCGAGCAAGGCCGTGGCCCCAGCAAAGTCCCAGTCGGCCGAAATCGAGAACAGCAAGGGCTTGGCTGCGCTTGTCAACAACGAACGGTTTGTCAATGTTAAGACCTCTCTCGCTGGACTGTTTGGCGCTGGGCCCGCCACATTCAACTTGTTCGGAGGATCGGCTGCTACTGCTGCTGCCGCTGCTGCTTCTTCTACTACTGCTCCTTCCAACGGCAATAATGACACCGCCCCAGGTGCTGAAACATTCAAGTTTGGGTTTTCTGCACCCACCTCGGACGACGCCGATCATGCAGACCAAGTGCCAGACGCAGACGCCGAAGCGGCATCCTTCCTGAAAGCCGCCCCAGTTAGCTTTTTCTTCCTGCACACTGGAACGCGACAGGATCGATTGCTAGCGCTGCAGCGCGAACTTGCCCAGCGGGCGTCCCTGCCCACCAACGACGCCTCTGCGCCCGCGCTTGCGACTGGATCCAAGCTGAAGCAAGCCTCCGCGCAAGGAGTGCCCACCCAGGTCTTCATGAAACATGGCGACGACGCAACCATTGCAGAACAGTGGAAAGCTGCCCGTGGCAATCTCATCAAGGATTACAAGAGCAAACGCAAGACCTCCGTGCGTCGGCAAGCAAAGTCAACGCTGCGCCATGGGTCTGCTGCTTTTGCCACGACTGCCGGGGTCGGAAAGCGTCGGCCGAACCACAAAGCACACGGACGCAAGCCATAGACTATTTCATGTTCAACGAAATGGTTTGTGAAAGTTGCTAAAAGGTGTTATTGTTTTTTTAATCTTTATTTGGAATGTTGCTCTTTCCTTCCTTCCTTCGTTTCTTTTCACCCCCCCCCCTTTGCCTTTCTCCCACGCTCTGTTAACGAATAGCAAAATTCAACGACCTACAGTGGTTCGATCTTGTGTGGCGTGTGTGCAAAGCTACACGGCTGTTCCAAAGCATTTGAATCGGCGGAATCGCGAGGGGCGAGCGATGGAGGCAAAGTGGCCAGATAAGCACCAAGTTGGATCAGTGTGAGTGGTGACCGCTGGTGCGGATGCTGAAGCTGTTCGGTGACATAATCTGTAAGTTCCTTGGTGCGGCTGCATTGAGCAAGTACGAGCTCGAGCGCGTCGTCCATTGGCAAGACATCCAACGGTACTGCAGCGGTTGTCGCAGACCACTCGGCCTCTCGAGTTGTGATGAGAACGACACCGCCCTTTTTGGGAAACGGAGGCAGCGGGATGGAATGACTGGCATTGTCAACGATCAGCAGAAAAGGACCCGAGCGTTCAAGCTTGGCGTTGACCATGGAAGCCAAATCTTGCAGCTGCGTGTCCGCAAACACGTCTAGCGCGAGCGCTTCGGCAAGTTTGTGATAGCTGCTGAGAATCGAGTCTGGGGAATCACCCCTCACCCACCCCACAAACTCCCAAGCCGCAGAATTCTGGTACGCGTACGCAACAGCGAGCTGGGTTTTGCCAATTCCCTTGCGACCCAATATTGCGCAAACGCGTATGGAATCGTCTGGTCCGAACGGGGCCAGCGAGGAGAGTTGACCAAGTTCGCTCTTGCGGCCCTGAAACAGTTCGTTTTTCGCGGGTGTGTCCCAGTACCTCGCCGAGCGAACGGTGGAAGGCGGAAACCGTGCGTCCGCAAGCTGTAGCAGCGAAGAAATGTAGTCGATGACATGGCGAAGGAATGCGTCTTTGTCGTGCGTCAGAAAGTCGGACGCTGCTCGAGCCAAACGACAAAAATGCAGCATAGCACACAGAGGTGGAGTAAGTCGGATGAGAAGTTAGCTACTCGAAAATCGTCAATAGCAACTCTCGCTTTCATTTTTTTCTTACCGCGCGAATCAGAGCGCGAATCAGAGCGCGAAGTGGGGCGCGAATCAGAGCGCGAGGTAGGGCGGGAATGAGAGCGACGCTCGTTCGCCTTAGTGGAGCGAAACTGATACGCCATTCGACCACGCGCTTTGGGAGTATAGACCACTCCGGTTCGCAGTTGAAAGGTGTCGTCGAAACGACCACCCCACACGATCGAATCTCGGTCGAAGCAAAGCGTCTCGGAAATTGGGGTCTCGGAAATTTGGGGCAGTGCGTGCGCCAGCAAGGGCTTAAAATCGTGTGAGAAATGCATGTCATGACTGGCTAGGCTGAGTTCAAGCTTATGCGGCTGAGGAAGCGGCGAGCACATTTTTTCTGCGGCACGTTCGTCGGTCGTGCAACTCTCGCTTGGCGCTGCAGCTGAGCTGCTGAGCGGTTGTTCGTGACCATGACTGAGAGGCGTGGGTCCCAATGGGAGCGGCGACTCTGTGGGTCGTGGAAGCAACTCAGCGTTATTGTAAACCAAAGACGGTTCGGGTTTAAAGCTGTTGGTGATGGTGGGACCCGTCGTGGCAACTGCAAGATCGTTCTGCGAGACGGACAGAACCGCGGGCGCAGCAGCGGACGCCGTCGCCTCTTCGCTTTGAACAATCCATTGCTCGGTTCGCTCCTCCGAGAGACTGCGCTGATACGATTGAGAAGCGGTCTGTTGGACGCGAGGCACTTTGTTGAATGTCGCAGCTAGGTCCTCTTCTGCAGCACGCTTGCGACTCGATCCTGCCAGCGGCGACGAAAGAGAGGCTAGGGGAAGCACGGGCTGAGGCATCGCCAAAGTGTTGACGTCTGGGTGCGCTACTTCTTGCTGCTGTGCAATAGTTACAGCCACACTCGGAGCCGATTCGGAGCCAGTCGAGGCCAAGGGTGCAAGTCGCGCCTTGAGCTTTGAGCCACTTTTCGAACTGCTGGCACGCTTCTTTGGTGCCTGCTCGAAGCGCGTCTGCTGGCTCTGCCACATCCGCAAGCGCGATTTGTTCGACTCGGAGATAAACCACGCATCCCACTGCTCGACGGTGGTCGCATGCAAGCCCGCGCCGGTGAGATCCGAGGGCACGTTGACAGCGTTCATGCAGTTGAGCAGAAAGGAAGTGTGTGGCGCGTCCCAGTGCAGCATTCCGCGTTTCGGGATGCAAAGACCAATGTGATCGTAGAGGTCATTCTTGAATCGAGAGCTGTGGCCGCAGAAGCAGTTGAAAGGACGGTAGTTGGAGTGCGACTGAACGTGCCTGATGAAATTCTTGCGTTCGTTGGAGGTCTTGGTGCAGCCGTCCCACGGGCAGACAAACCGAGCGTCTGGTTTGGTGCGGCGAATCACTTTTAGGGCAACTTCGCGGAGCTTGACAAACATGGCGTCTGCGGTCAAGCCACGAAACGAGCTGTCGTCGTAGGTCGGCACGTCGTTGGAGCTGACTGCGGCATGAGAATCGTGCTCGCCCGCTTCCGAGTAGCTGGAGAATGTGGCGTCGGTCTCGAGTGGCGTCTGTACCAAATGCGAGGCGGGCCGTGTGGGTGGTTGCGTCCAAGGAACATTGGAATTCGGGAGCTGCATGGCACTTTTTGGCGCCTCGAGCTCTCGAGCGTCGGAGTGGGTGTAGCTGGTGTCGATCTCGTTGTCATCGCTTTGACTCGATTCACTCGAGCGGTCGCTTGCTTCATCCAAATTGGGATTCTCGGCAATCCGTTCCAATGTCGATGGAATGTTATCACCTTCCGATTGACGTAGATGAGCGCTTGCCCCTGGGACTGGGCCACGGCTCGCGTCAGGCTCACTGCGATACACCAATGGGCCATTGCCAGCAGCAAAGACGCGACTTGCGATGGGATCGAGCTGGTGGGTCCAGGGGCTTGATCGGGACCAGAAGGTCAACATCAGCTCCGCCGCTGCCACGTCCGCCTGAAGCACCGCCGGTGGCTTGGGAATGAGCTTGACTGGCATCAAGAGCTCGGCAGCAGCGGTGGCGGACGCCTGTCGTCGGGAAACAGAAGCAGGCTTCGTTGTCACGATTGGAAAGCGATGGTATTCACGCCCTCCAGCAGCAAGAGCCGGGTTTCCCGCCGCCGCGGCAAACGTGGTCTTGTCCATTGGGCAGTGAAACGTAAACGTCTTGGTCGCAGGGCTGCTCATTTCTGTTGACAAATCGGAACGAATGATGTCAACACGAAAAGTGAGGAGTGAGAACAAGTCGAGTGACAATGTAAGATTGGGAAAAATAGAATTGCCCAGCAATTAAAAACCATACAAAGACAACGAACACAACACGAAAGCTGTTTTTGCTTTTTCAATGTCACAGCAGAACATGGAAATAATATTTGTCAAAGCAACAAGAGCGACGAGTGTCATTCGTTGATCACAAAGCGCAAGGTGGCGAAAACCGAAAATCGAAAATCGAAAAAAAAGAAAAAAAATTGGCCAACCAAAACTCGAAAAAAAAAAAAAAAAAAAAAAAAGGCGCTGACTATAAAAAGCAAGGTCAGGCACTTTGCATTTTGCAGAGGATTGTCATGGGGCACGTTTGGGCACCAAGAACGAGCAACAAAACCCAACTCCCCATGCATGAATCCTGACGCTTGAAGCTTTGGGAAGGTGAGCATCAACGGCGTTGCTGGTCGTCAACGAGAAGCCGTCGTGATTTTGGTTGTGGGACCTTCATATTGAGATGAGGTGATTGTGTGATTTTTTGGATTTTTTTTTTTTTTTTTTTTTTTGGGTTGGTTGGTTTGATTTCCCGTTTGATCTATCGTCCAGACAGCAGACGCAGACCTCAGTCGAGCCAGCAAAGTCATTTAAAAAAAAGGGTAATCTCAAAATACAATTGTTCGTTGATGCTTGAGCTGAGCAACCCTTCTCAGTCCGTCCGTCTTCGTTGGCCAAAAAAACCCTGAGCTTAAATATTTTGATGATACAGCTAGCTACACAGGACTCATTACTCATCTTTCTTTGTGCTTGCGCTTTGAACTGCAGAAATTACAATGCTTTTTGTCAAGAAAGTAGCTTGATGATGGCAAACGATGGGGAAAACGTTGGGAACGCTTGACGGGGGAAAAAAAAAAAAAAAAAAAAAAAAAAACCCTGATCAGCCTGCTGCCTATCCCCCAGAGGACCATCGTGACCTCCTCGACCACCCCGTTTGGGCACGTTTGGAAGGGGGAGGAGGTATCTGCTGTGACGTATACAACCCCTTGCCCTCGAGCGTCGGCGCCATGGCAGATCGCGGATCACCGCCACAAGATCAAGCATGCTGTTGTTGAGGTGCACGCTACGAAAACTCAGCAAAACCACAACAAAAGAAAATAAAATTACTGGTAGAAAATTAAAAAAAGACTGCTCAGAAAACAAAAGCAGCTTAACCTTCCTTACTGAGCCAGCAATTCGACTCTTCTCCAACCCCCCACCACCAGGCTACAAAGACGCCACACGATCAAGTCCAGCACGAGACGTGTCGAATGTGTCAATATCTTCCATCTCTTGTGCTATTGGCCAGCCAATGGAGCGACCCAGCGAAAACTGGCACTCCTGATCCAATTGCTCAAACCCGACAAGCTGCAGGCGGAGGCCATGCTTCAACCTCGACAAGAATGCCAGCAGGGACAATGCTCCAAACTTGACAACACTGCGAGCATCTCGCATACAAGTGCAAGCAGCATACAAGTGCGAGCAGAACTCTGCCAAGAATTGCGCCAAAAACGACACCATCGCTCCGACCAAGAACAGGTTTCACTGTGTGATGCCCCACTATGACTCTGCAACGCCTCTGGCACCTCGCTTCAAGCTGACATCATGTTGACCACAAGGCGAGCGCATGCAAGCAGTTTCAGGGCATATCTCATGAAACTTTTGCAGAGGTTGCAATCGCAGCATTGTACACAACCCGCCCGTCACCGTGCAGCCCCGATCGATAGTATTAAAAACGCGTCGTACTGCAACACGCCTTGTCAGAGAGCTCGGTCGAACACAGCGAGTGACGAACATGCTGATGTTGCAGTCGTTCACATCGTTTTTGGTTTGCTCAGTTTTTGGTTTCCCCCCCCCCCGCTCCTGGCCACCCTCCGATGTCAAGCCATCCAGGTGCAAACACCTGATCCACCAACCACAATGATAGATTTTACCTTTTGAATTGTCAGAAGATTGCATCAGCGTCGAAAGAACAACGAAATATAATTCTCGAAAATTCTGGAAAACTGGAGCAATTCCAATGGAAGAAAGACTGACGGGTGGATGGTTTTGGCGTAAGCTGTCGGTCGCGCGAGGTTTCTGATGAAAAAGCAGCATGCGGGAGATTGCACAGTACTTGGGGGTGGGTGGGTGACGTCAATCTGTTGTCAAAATGCCTATTTTTGTTCTCGCAATTTTGGGAAAGATACTGGTCTCCTCTGCGATGACATCGCAACCATCCGCTTCCGCTCCTTGTTTCTTTCAAGTCGACGAATATTATAAAGTGTATGGGCAAAAGGGGAGTGATAGGGATGACATCCCTAGAACTTTTTCTGGACACGTCAAGTGAGCTCCTGCCAACTCCATGGTCAAGCGGGTCTGACCCGCCCGGTTTTTTTCCTATGAGTGTATATAGTATTTTAAATGGGAAAAACCTAGGCGGTGGGTCTGGGAAACTGATACACTCTCAGATCGCCATCGTGCAATTCCAGAAATCTGGACATCGTGTCCCGTCTTATGATATCGCAACCACGCGCTTCCGCTTTTTCGATTCTTCCCATCTAAGAGTACTATCAAGTACATGGTTGAAAGGTGAGCGACAGCGAATGAAGCCTCTAAACGCCTTGTCTTTCAAAAAAAAAAAAACGAGACCAGTGTCATCTTGCTCGCTGACGACTGAATGACGGACTTGCTGAATGGATGAATGAGTGTTCGATACATTTTGTCTATATTGTTCAAGAAATGAGAGGAGGAAAACGAGGACAGAAACATGAAAAGAAAAAGAAAAGAAAAAAAACGACAGAAACACCACAAAAAGCCAAAGACACCCATCATTACGTCCACACATCCTGTGAATAACGGCCCTCGGCTTGGAGCTTCTTGATAAAGTTGGCGGCCTCGGTGGCATCGCAGCTCTTGCCCTCCATCACGGCTTCGAGCAAAATTTGGTGAACGTTGCGCGCCATGTTGCGCGCATCGCCGCACACGTAAATGTGGGCGCCCTTGGCAACCAAGTCCCACACTCGCTTCTTGTTGGCCGTCATGTGGTGCGTCACGTACTCTTTGGCGTTCTGAGGAAACAACAATGGTCAGTGCGAAAAGTCAAAATTCAAGCAACACACTTCCGCACAGAGCACAAATAGAGCAGCGCACCTGATCGCGCGAGAAAGCGACGTGCATCTCAGACAGCGTGGAATCCGCCACCATCTCTTTCAACTCGGTCTCGTAAATGTAGTCGTGATGACGCGAGCGACATCCAAAAAAGAGCACAGTCTCGCCAAAGGCAACCGAGGCGTTTGTGGCTGCAAACGCAATCAATGCAACAAGAGCTTGGAGCAATTAGCACATGGCATCACACACTCGGAACGGTAGATTGGACAAAAACAAGACAGGGGGGGGGAAAAAACTTCCTTACGCTTGCTTCGCTCAACGCGGCGATCGTGCAAAAAGCCACGGAACGGCGCGAGACCGGTGCCTGGGCCTACCATGATGATGGGTGCAGTGTGTTGCTTGGGCAGCTTGAAGGTGGAGCGACGAATAAAGATAGGAACACGGTCGGGAGTAGCTGCGAGCGTGAAACGAAGCAACAAACAAAAAAGTCAATGGTACGATTCCAAAAAGTCTGTGGGAGTGCTGTTTCCGAGCAATAAGGACGGGATATCAGCAACAACTGCAACGCAACCAGATCGAACCTTCGGATTTCTTCAGCTTCAGCCAAGAAGTGGCAATGCCAGCACGGTCACGCTCAAGCTTGGTGGTGTACTTGACGAGCACTGCAGTGATGTGGACCGAGTTCGGGTGTGCCTGTCGCAAAAGGTTGGGGGGGGGAAGAGAGAGAGAGAAGAAATTCCAGTAAGAAACACCGAACAACCGACAGCCAACCAATCAAGCAACACTCACCTTCGGGGATGACGAAATGGAATAGTAGCGGCACTGAAGACGAGGAAGGAACTCGAGCAGCAAATCCATGGGTGGCTTGACGGAGGGCAAGTCACGCAGGATGTCAAGGATTGTGCGCTGGTCGTGCTGAATCCAGTCCTGGAAATCCTTCTTGCCCTCTTCCGTGGTCAGCTTTTCCAAAAACTCCTTCTCCTTGGGATCGGACGCGAACTCGGCCAGCTCGCGCAGGAGATGCGCGCGGGGCTGGCTCAAAATGTCGACGTAGTGAAGAAGGGCGGTGCGGAATGTGCAGGGGCACGGGAAGGGGCTCTTCTTGCTCGAGCGGGCGTCCACGGCCTCCAGGGAGAAGAGACTGTCAAGATCAACGTTGCCAACCAGCTTGCCGAGCTCCTCGACGAGAGCGGGGTCGTTGGTCGCAAAAACGCCAACGTGGTCTCCAGCCTCGTACTTGATGCCAGAGCCGGCAATGTCAAGCTCAATGTGCATGCACGAGCGGTCTCCGCCAGTGTGAAGCTCGCGGTGCACGCGGACGGGGGCGAGGAAGGGGTTTTTCGAGTCGAACGGGGGGCGTTGGTTTTCGTAGGCCTTGAGCTTTTGCATCTCACCAGTAAAGACCTTTTCGGGCGCAAAGGTCTCGTGAATCTTGACCTTGTACTGGCGAATGGGAGCCAGGTTGACGTTTTCAGGGACGGGCTTGTTGAACTTTTTGCACAGCGCCGGCCACATCTTGGCCTTCCAAGCAATAAAGTCTTCCTCCAAGTTGCCATCGTCGTCGCCCTCGCCGTGCTCAAACAAGCGCGAGGCGCCAAATTCGGCCAACTTCTCGTCCACAAATCGGCCGATCGCGTTGTAATGCTCGTAGGTCTTGTTTCCGAGACCAAAGACCTGCATGGACGAGATGGAGATGGTGAAGGGGCTGTCAGCGACGACGACAAGCGCGACCACACACGTACGGCCACCGAAACAACAAAACAAACAAAACAAACAAAAAAACACGACGTACAATGTAGCGCAGAGCCGAGAGCTCGGGCGACTCATCCTTCAGGTAGTCGTAGAAAGCTTGGGCATTGTCCGTTGGATCACCTTCACCATACGTTGCCATGCAGAACACGGCTACGGACTCGGGGATTTCGCCGAGGCGCTCGATGTCGTTCTGCAAAAAAGTATTCAAGGATGAGAAGGAAAAAGTCCTCGTGCTTTGTTTCATTCAGGCTACACATCAAGACGTACCACATCGATATCTTCGAGATCGAGGGAAATGGCGCTAAAGCCGTACACACGGGCCTCCTGGGCGAGACGACCGGCGTAATCCTCGGCGGTGCCAGTCTGGGAGCCGTAGAGCACAACCATGTTGGCATTCTGTTTGAAAGTCAAAAAGTCAATGACAAGGCACGACAAAGTGAGTGTTGTCGAGATCAACCTTCAATTTCTGAGCAAGTGAGCGTTTTAGGGTTTTTTTTTTTTGTCTTTTTACCGCGCGTTTCATGCGACCAATCAGAGTCTTGTCGACCTTGGGCCTAGCAATGGACACGACACGAAAGCCAGGATGAGAGTGAGACAGCGATGGAAATGTGAGTGATGCAGTAACAACAATCCCAACTCAACCACATGAGCAAGGGGGGGCCCTCGACAAACACAAACAGCGCAATGGCGAGATCAGCATGTGTGGCAACGAAGTGAAGTGAAGTGGCAAACTGACGACAGCGTTCGATGTGCCCTGCTCTCATCAGTCCCAAGTGAGGTGACTAGGGACAAGTGCTATGATTCGAATGTGCATCATTTTGATTCTGTGCTATCGGACGGTGAGAGTGTGACCGAGTGTGACGACCAGAGTGCGATGCGACTGTGTGACTGTGTGCGAGCTCAGCCCATCTGACTCGCTTCGCGCTTTTCTGCAGCCATCACTGCCGCTGAACTCAGTGCGCTGCTGCAAAACAAAAACCAAACAAGCTGCACATCAAAGCAAGTGCGATGCATGTCAAAGCAGCGAGCCAAGCGTCCATGAGCGCGACTCATCCCACGCGCGATGCACTGTGAGCACAATCGGCGTGTGGCCTGATGTTTGTTGTTGAGGGAGGTGGAACGAAAGGCTGCATGTTGCGCCAGTCCACTCCTCGACTTCCACTCGACTTCGGCCACACTTTGTTGCGTCGCGACTCGGATTCGCGCTTGTGAGATCACTGCTTTGTCAACGCACGGAGCTCACAAAACGAGAATCGGGAGAAGCGGAAAAAAGAAAAAAAAAAAAAGACACGAGGTTTTTTTTTTTCGTTTCTGTTCCTTTGGATTTGTGACCGTTTTGCTTCCGCGAAGTCAGTCACTCGGTCAAATCGCATGTGCTGGTGATTGGGAATGGAAATGGGGATTTCGCTGATGTGGAGTGGTGGCGGCGGGTGGGAGGAAGGGACGACAAGCGAGAAACAAAACTAGAACAAAAACTCACTTGGCAGCCGATGATGACGCGGCTCCGTTGCTGCCGCTGCCGCTGCTGCTGCTGCCGTTGCCAATGCTGGGCTTTGTGTTGGTGCCGTTCGGGGTGGTGCTGGCGGTGCTGTTCCTGGAGCGGCGGATGTAGAACAGGCCGATGAGCAGGATGATCACAGTCAGAGCGAAAATGTCCACCGTGTCAATGCCAGGCCCAGCGACCGGCTCCGCGGCTGCTGCTGCATGATGGGAAGGAGCGGACAGCGCATCGGACGTCGCATCGCCCGCCGCCATTCTGTCAAGGAAAACAAAAAAAAAAAATGAAGAGTAATAAAATACAAATAAAACAAAGAGCAAAATGGAACATTGAAAATCTAAGAAACATGAATCAAATCGAATCAAAAATCAAAAGGATTTTCATTAGATCGAGATGCTCAGAACATCAGCCTCGCTGTAGCTGTAGCACTCAACCCAATGCCCTTGAAAATTGAAACCAACTCACCCATTTGGATGGGAATCGCAAGTGAGAGTGATGAGCATCGAACGTTGCTTCGCTTTGGGTGGTTTTTTTTGCAAGCAAGCCGAAAATCACAATCATTTTTCCCATTCATTTTCCCATTCATTCTTTTTTTTTTTTTTTTTTTTTTTTTTTTTTTTTTTTTTTGGTTTGAACTATTTATTATTGATGTCGGATTTGCACGATCACGCAGCAGCCAGCGACCGCGCGCGCCTTGCGCCTGCCGTTGTTGAGGAGCTGACCAAGGCGTTTGCCGTGTGCGACAAGGACGGCAACGGCGTCATCACGCTGAACGAGCTCGGCCAGGTCGTCTCGAATCTCGCCAACGTCTCTGTTCCAGACACCAAAGTACCGCTCGACACACACCACACACACCCCGCCTGCTCTCTCTACTCTGCTTTATCTGCTCTGGCATCGCATTTCTACATTTCTTAGCCGAAGAACTGGTGCTTTGTGGCTTGGATTGGACCGGACAGGGGATTCTGCGCACTCTTCTCAGGATTGGTGATCTCACCACGCATTTGACAATCACCATCATCATGGCTGCTGCTGTTAGGAACTCGAGGCATTGATGCGCCTCATGGACAAGAACGGCGACGGGCTGATTGAGCTGGACGAGTTTATTGCCACAATGGCGGATTGGCTGCAAGACGATGAAACGGGTAAACGGATGGAATTGCCCAACAGCGATCCACTGCTGTGAACAGATTGTCAACGTTGGTACTTACTGCGCATACAACACTTTCAATGCTCAAAAGGCGCGGCACAGGCAACGAATCGCAAACGGCGCGCCGGTGACGATGCCGTCGATGTAAGTGCACACCATCCCGTTTCGTTTCGTTGACCGCATTCCACGACAGCTTTCAACAGACGCTCTACATGCAGTTTTGATGCCTACTCACTGCATTTTTTTTCTTCAAATGATCTTCTAGGAGCGATTCAAAATCCATCGCAAAGTGACGCGATTCTTGCTGCAGTTCCGCGTCGCCTCCAACTTTTCAGAGGTCCGCTCCAACGTGTCGTCTTGGCAAGACACGCAAATGATGGACTTTGTCAACGCCAATGATGTCAGCATGGATGTCGATATGCCCATTCTCGGACGAGAGACGTCGTCCCCTGCCACCGAAGCCGTGAAGGTGAAGGCCTTTTTTTTTTTTTTTTTTTTTTATCACTGCCCAGCATACCACTTCAATCCTGCCATTGTTTCCAAGTCCATCTAACAGCTCGTCCCCTTGGTTTTTATCCCTGTTCAATTTCACCATTCTTTCTTCGGTAGGCCGCCGCGCTGGCGAGCGCTCAAAACGCAAACTGGGACGTCCTCATCCACACCATCTCAACCCTCGACAGCTGTGAATCGGCTCTGCTGACACTGTGTGAATTGCTCGTCAATCTGCTTTCAGCCTACCCGACTCCAGCAGACCGTCGTCAGATTGGCGAAGCGCTGGTCGCCGTGTACGAAAAGCTCCACCCGCTCATTCCGCGACTGGTCCAGTTTATGCAATCCATCTTTCCCTCCACGCAATGGTACTCGTCCAAGATTGTCACGCTGCTCCTGCCCGGTCCTCGCATCGCCAACATGCCCGCGGACTTTTGGATGCACTCGTCGCACCACGCCTTCAAAAACGCGTTCGTCGAGGCTGGCGGCATGCCAGTTCTTGTGAAGGCGCTCCTCAGCTCCTATCCTCAAGTGCGTGGACAAGCGCTGCTCTGTGTGGGCGCACTGGCGCGGGACCATCCAGTCTTGCGTGACCAGCTCCTCGAGCTCGATGTGCTTGGACCAATCCAACGCATCTTTAACGGTATTTTTGCTCAGCCAAACTTCATTGTCACGTTGCGCGATGCGACCTGGGTACTTTCCGTCATTTGTGGTGATGTGGCGTTCGAGTCACTGGCTCACTGGCATCTTGTAAGGCAGTTAGTTGTGGGCTCGATGTGGTTGAGTGGTGGAATGTCAGAACTCAAATATTCGCGTGTATATGTAGGTCAAAAACCTGCTGCCGTTGCTGGCCGAGCTGCTCTCGCACGCTGGAAGAACCTACACGGACGCTGTGGTCATTATCAACGTTTGCAAATGCCTCGCGTTTTTGCTCCCCGGTGTCCGCGAAAATGATCAGTCTGTTGTGACCCGCTCGTTGGTCGAGGTGCTCAAGTAAGGGGATTTGTGCTTGCCTGTTGTTTCTTTCTGTACTTTTTGTTGCGTTGTGCTACTTTCGATGCAGTGGATGCGCCTCTCACGGACTCTTCTCACATTCAATGGTACAGCTCTGCCACCGAGTCGCGTCTCAAGAAGGCCGTCTTGTACACCATTGGACAGCTTTTGGTGGATGAGAATCTTGCTCAGGTAAACGCCGCAAAAAACCCACAATTACTGGTCTTGCGAGAAGCGCAATGCATCTGATATTTCTTTTCTTTTCTTTTTTTTTTTTCTTTTTTTTTTTTTTTTGTTCACGTTGATTTTCGTATTCTAGAATTTGCTCTTCCATAACCTGTTGGCGAGCATCCGCGACCTGCTGCATCATGAGGAGGAGCCTACGGTGCGATATGCCGCTTGCAAGCTGCTCGCCATGCTTTCGGGAGCACGCAGCCGCATCCAACTCCTCATCGATACTGGAGTTGTGGAAGACATGATCACTCTTGTGCAAAACGACAAGCACACCCGCAAGGTTGCCGTGCGCGTGCTTCGCAACCTCACTCAAGGGACCTTGCCTCAAATCATGTATGTTGAGTGTTGGGGGTTTGTCACCTGTTTTTTGTGCTGCGCTTTTGCTCATTGCCTTCCCCTTGCTTTTGCCTTGCTTTTGCCTTGCTTTTGCCTTGCTTTTGCCTTGCTTTTGCCTTGCTCTTGCCTTGCTCTTGCCTTGCTCTTGCCTTGTGGGTCCAGTCATCTTACCACGTACAATCAGCTGGTGGCCGTCCTATGCCACATCTTTTCCTACTTTTTGTCAAAGGATGAGGTCTTGGAGAATGTCTACAACTATCAAGGCCCGTCCTTTGAGTTTGAAATCCTGCAGGATGCCGGTATGTGGCTACTTTTGAAGAAGGGGAGGGGACGTTTGCTCGTTTCGGTTGTCCATCTCGCGCTGACTGACTCTTTTGCTGGTTTGGTCTTTTCGTGCTCCTTTCTGCTTGATTTTTGTTAGTGGTCGCTTTGAATGCGATTATTGACGCTGGACAGGTCGAGGCAGATGAGTTCAACCGCCCCAACCCTCTTGTGCAGCTTTTTGCGGTGGATTCTCTCAACCAGATTGGCTTGTTGTTGCGCACCATCCGTGAGCAACCTGCCGAGATGCTGAATGCATTCAAGCATGTACGTGTGCATCGTTTGGCTCAATGAGTGTGAAGCGTCAATGTGAAATGTTGTATTACTAACGCAATTTGGTTCTGGTGGTACAGCACAATGACAATGTTGGCGTCACCGTGGAAGAGCGCATTCGCCACTTGCTGCAGAAGATTAAGAAAAATGTCGATCGCAGCATCGCCCAGCATCTCGAGTACGAGGGTCTGGATCACGCCGCAGCGCTGTTGGACGACGTGCTCCGCACATTCTTCACCTCAATGTCCTCCACTGCCAAGATTTTGTTGATCAAGTGCGCCTTGGATGACGAGATTCGTGTGGTCGAAGTTCCGCGTGCCGTCACATACGAGGATTTCCGCTCCATCATTGAGGCGCGCTTTGGAGGCGAGCTGCTCATCACGTACAAGGTAGGAAAAGCTTTGATTGATTGTTCTTGGATGTGCCAAGAGAAGCGGTTTGGCTGCCATCATCTCACCTTCGTGGTTGCCGTTTTTTTTTTTTTGTTTTTTTTCTGCTGTAGAACATGGAGGGAGAGTTTATTGCGATCGATCGCTTGGCAGTGTTGGAGCGCTTGATGGAAAAGCGACAGCAGGATCAAGCTGCATTCATCAATGTGCAATTGTTCCGCGACCCCTCTGGACGCGCGCGTGCGGCGAGCAGCGGCAACCTTCCTTCGACAAGCGAGACCTCTGTGCTCTCGGAGGCGGTTGTCGCTTCGAAAGCCGTCTCGACCACAGTTGGAACGCCGCTTAAAACTCCGGGACTACCCAGTATGTATCGATACGAAATGGCTGCCTCATAGATGGCTCCATGCATGCCATTGTTAATTGACAAGTCTTTGTTTTTTGCAATCTTCTTCAAAACACTCTAGACTTGGGCGATTCCGGCTTTGCCTTTTTCTCCTCGTATGCCGACCTCTCGGCCCCGACGCAGCCAGCCAAGAATGCGCTCTTCCAAAATTTGCTCGCCGTGACTCACTGTAAACGTGACCGCCATTGTCTGAAGACCGCAACAAGATTTCGGTGCTCATCCCATCCACCAACTCGCTCTGTTTTTTGCATCCACACAGTTGGCCCAAGCGAACTGAATGAGCTGATTGCCAAATGGTCAACGCTGACAACGGACTCGCATGGCCAGATTGATCGCGCTCGGTTTGAGCAAGGTCTTCGAGAGGTTGGCTGCACCGATCCGTTGGTGATTGAAGTAAGAGGAGGTTTTTTTTAGTTTTGCTTGTCGACAAGCCACGTCGCTTTGTCTTGGATTGTGCCCTCACGCTTGCTGTCGTTTTGCCTTCGTTTAGGAAAACTTCAAAGCGTTCGACACCGACGGCAACGGCATGATTTCGTTTGCCGAGTTTGTCTGCGGTTTGTCAGTCCTCACGCGCGGCACTCCGGATGAAAAGCTTGCCCTGTATGTTTGGGGTTTTTTGTTTGTTTGTTTGGAACGGCTGGTGAACAACAACTCGGGCATGTGCTCACAGGCTGTTTTGGTTGTCCTTCGCTCCCCTGCTAGAATGTTCCGATCTTACGATCTCGATGGCAATGGCTACATTTCCAAGGAAGAAATGACCTTGATCGTGCAGTCCTGCAAGGAGGCTGCCGGAGAAGTTGCGCATCCTGAGCAGATTGCCAGCGAGGTTGCTCAGCTGTTTGCGAACATTGATGTCGATGGTGACGAGCGCATCACGTTGGACGAGTTTAAGAGTGGTGTTGCCAACGGTGCGCTCAGCCTCGTTCTTTCCGTGCATGGCACGACTGCGTAAAACACCAATCCCTTTCCGGTGACCTCACGATTTCACTTTGAATGTTGTTCCGTTTTCCCCCGTCCCCCGTTGTCCTCTCCTTCCATGTCTGTGCTTTCGTGAGCAAACCTGACTTGTCTCGAAATGTGTTTGTTCGACACTTGAGACTTTGAGAACTAGTACAGTACTGTACAATAAAGACTGATGCCTGGAATGAATGACGACGAATTCACTGAATGGATTAGAGCTGCACCCTTTGGTTCGCTCTGACAACGTCAGAGTATGCGTATCAACCGCGCTGTCGGTGGGAAACGTTGGAGTTGGCTGTATTGATGGCGGTTGTATTGGATGAACTACAAACTCCAGAACGCGTCTAGCTACCACATGTCAGCGTGCACGTGTTCGGCCTTCTTGCGGCAATGCGGACAGCTTTTCTTGAATTGCCAGAAGCTCGACTTCCGAGGGAAGACGCAGTTCGCCGCGAGCCGCTCGTAATTGTGCGACTTCTTGCTTTAAGGCTTGCAGCTCGAGCTCCGAGCGGAGCAGCAGTTCGCGAGTGGATCGTCGGTCAACGCCGTCATGGTGTCGAACAATCCGGAAAATCCACGTCACTAAAATGGCATACTGTCATTGTGCCCAAAAAATAAAAACAAGACGTGAATGAGTCAACCATCAAAACGAGCAAAATCGGGCCAAAAATTCACAGACACAAGCGCACAACGTACATGTCCCCACATGGCATCCGTTTCAAACTCGGGGGAGTTTGGCTTGATCGTGGACGGGTTGCTCTCCCGGACAATCCAAATAATGGAATAAAGGAGCGACCAAACGTACGCGCAGATCATCCAGGATCTGTAGGACTGAACTTTGGGAGCTGTAAAGATGGGGATCAAACACGAAATGGCGATTCCAAGCTTGGACTGTTCACCACATCAGCACAAGCAATGATTTCGGCACCCTTTCAAGACACAACGACAGCTCCTACCAAGAAATGTGTCTCGAGGTAAACGTTGACATAGTCCGAGTGGGTGGCGCAACGAGCTGGTCCGCATTTCTCAATCACCTCTGCTCCGAACATGTCATATCGGCGACGGCTGTCGGGATCGCGAAGGACATCGTAAGCCCGAGCAACGGCCAGAAACTCCTCCGACTCGCCGCCCGTGCGATCGGGATGGTGTGTCAGCGACGCGGCGCGGTACCCGGCCTTGATCTCGGCAGCAGACGCAGCCGGAGAGACCTGATACGCGTACAGCGCATGAAATCAATGGCATTCGGAAAGATTTGCAGGGAATTTCCATCTCCATCCGGTCAACAGTGAAAGACAGGCTCCAGCAAATTCCTTTTCACCGCCTTTTTGTTGTTTGCTGTACTTACTCCAAGGATGTCATAATATGTCGGCGTCTGCTTCACAAAGGTCAGAATGTCGTGCATTGCCAGCATGAGCAGAATGAACTGAAACATCTTTTTCGGGTTTGCAACAGGCTTGGGTGCCAGTGCTGGGACAGTCGTGCCACGATGTGAGTTTGAGCTATGATCTGCAGGTTTGTCTTGACGGCAAGTGCGGGGTGCAAGTCAAGAGTCCAGCCAACTGAATGAGTGAAGGGGGAAGATCCACAAGCCAAGCGGACAGGTCCTTTGTTCGTCTTGCCGAGTGCGCACGGGGTCAGCAAGCCCGGATCTTACCATGTGTGGCTTGTGCTTGTGCTTGTGCTTGGGCCGGTGCAGTTGAAGCCGGCTGCTTGAGCGGGTCTGACCCAAAAGCAACGAAAAAAAAAGGCGCCAAAGGGATCAGATAAGCCAAAAGCTCACCACTAGCATTGAAACGATGATTCACCATCATCACCATGCTCATGATGCTGATGATGATGATAAAGTCACTTACCGCCAAACTTGAGGCGGATGACAGCGTAGACGGCGATGGCTTGGACGAGAAACCAGCCAATGGCAGAATCTAACGTGATCATTCGCTCAAACTCTAAGAAACCAAGTAACACAAAAGACTGAGCTTGCGAAATAGACAAGGACGTACCAGCGTTGGAAGATAATAATATCGTGAGTGAGCGGAAGGGCGAAAGCTGCGTTTTGGCTTCTTTTATTCGATTCTCAGAATCCATCCAAATGCATGGTCATTTCATCCCTTCACTTTGACTCATCGACGAATGAAACACGAAAATGCTGAGCAAGGATCTGCAACGTGAAAACAGTGAATCGCTTTTGGAGTGTCTTTTGTTTGTTTAGCTGTGTGCTGATTTCAAAGATCAGAATATGAATCAGAACCAGCGCGAGTTGTACGACGACGTCAAGAATGCGAGTGGAACGCTCTAGTAATAGAAAAGCCCGAGTTTGTTGGAACACAGTTGTTGACAGCGCGAGTGTGTGTGCTGACGAGAATGGAGGGATGGACAGTCTGAGTCGCAATCGAATTGGCGATGAAGAAGCGAAAGCGATTGCTGAGGCACTCAAAGTGAACACGACACTGACTCACCTCTTGTAAGGCATCTCACTCTTGTTGGTGCATGTGGGTGGGTGATTCAGAAGAGTGCTCAATGATGGAAGGGATGGTCAGTCTGGGTGGCAATCAGATTGGCGATGCTGGAGCGCGGGCGATTGCTGAGGCACTCAAAGTGAACAAGACGGTGACTCTGCTCTCGTAAGGCATCTCACTCTTGCTGGTGCATGTGAGTGGGTGATTCAGTAGAGTGCTCACTGATGGAGGGGGATATGGACAGTCTGAGTGAGAATCAGATTGGCGATGTTGGAGCGCAGGCCATTGCTGAGGTTCTCAAAGTGAACACGATGCTGAAGGATCTCAAGTCAGGCATCTTACTTTGACTGATGCATGTGAGTAGGGGATTAGAATACTCACTGACGGAGGGCATGGACAGTCTGAACAAGAACCAGATTGGCGATGTTGGAGCGCACGCGATCGCTGAGGCACTCAAAGTGAACAAGACGCTGACTTATCTCGAGTAAGGCATCTCATTTTGAGTGAAGCATCTGAATGGGTGATCTTAACAGAGAACATAAAGAGTGCTCACTGATGGAGGGGCCCGACAGTCTGCATCAGAATCTGATTGGCGATGCTGGAGCACGGGCAAACGCTCAAGCACTCAAAGTGAACAAGACGTTGAAAACGCTTAAGTACATATCGATTACTTCAAGGTGCTCTGACAGCCGTTAAACTCATGCTCCAATCTGATGCTGTAATCGACAATAACAGTTTGTCCCAGAACTTCCTAACCAATACTGGAATCAATGCACTCAAGCAAATAGACAATGCCATTTGTAAATTGGAGTAAGACTGCTTGTTTGTTGGATTACAGCATGAACAGCAAGCCACTCACCTGCTTGGTGAAACTATAGTCATTCTTCTGGGCGTCTTGACCATCAGCGTGCTCCATCGCCTGCCGAATTGGCTCAGATTGCAGCTCGTGCAGCAGCACACACTCAGCTCCAACCTTCTGTCACACTTGCAACCGAAAATCGGCAACTGCGCTCCAAACTGGCAGCTCAAGAGCAAGTCCTCTCGGCAAAGGACCAGGCGCTCGTTACCAAAGACCAGGAGCTCGCAACCAACAAGCAGGAGCTTGCTACTAGAGATCAGGCGCTCGCTGCCAAAGATCAGGAACTACAACAACTTCGCATCGATCTCGCTGCCAAGGACCAGAAGCTCGCAACGACAGAGCAGGAGCTCGTTGCGAAAGACCAACAGCTTGCTACTAAAGACCAGGAGCTCACCGCCAAGGATCAGGAGCTTGATGCCAACAAACAGAAGCTCACAACAAGAGAGCAGGAGCTCGCTACGAAACACCAAGAGTTTGCCGCCAAAGATCAGGAGCTCGCTACCAAAGACCAGGAGCTGCAACAACTTCGCTCCAATCTGAAGTCAGCCTTTGATCGGATTGATGTACTTGAGTGCAACCAACTCGCCGCTGGACCTTTGTCGAACTTTGACGGACCCATCCCACAAGTGCCTCTCGCCGCTCTCGCCTCCGCCACGAACAATTTTGCTGCGGATTCTCTGCTCGGCGAAGGAGCATTTGGTCGCGTGTACGGTGCCAGTCTGCCTGGACCTCCTGTTGCCGTCGCCATCAAGAAGCTGTCCGCCGAATCGATCCAGCACTATGCAGCGTTTCAGTCAGAGTTGAAATCTCTATCTAAATTCCGCCACACAAACATCATTGCCATGCTGTCGTATGCCGAAGCTCAGGGTGAATATTGCTTGGTGTACGAGTTCATGCCGAATGGTTCTGCTCGAGATCGTTTGAATCGCAAAAACAACACTCCTCCGCTGACTTGGTCCCAGCGCCATCGCATTGCAGCTGATGTTGCCCGCGGCATGCACTACGTCCAAACCGCATTCCCTGACCATGTTCTGTTCCACCTCGACCTCAAGACGGACAATGTTCTGCTGGACGCACACTTCAATGCAAAAGTGTCTGATTTTGGTCTTGTCCGTGCTGCCGAGCATCTTGATGACAAGAGCTACCTTCGCACGAAGGTTCCTCAAGGCACCGCTGCTTACATGTGTCCCGAGTTCTTAGAAGGCCGCATGACCATCAAGACGGACGTTTATGCATTTGGCATGATTCTACTGGAATTGGTCACTGCAGCCAAACCCGGTATTCTGCTGAAAAGAACTGCGCGAAAGGCTGCGAACAACCAAAAATGCATTGAGATGCTGGACTCGGCTCTCCACCCAACCGAAGCCGAGGGCCAGAGCGTCAGCGAGATTGTCACCCTCGCGCTCGAGTGTCTTGATGACGATGCCGATGAGCGTCCGTCTTTTGGACGCCTCCTTGCTACATTGGATCCTTGATGCCAAGCGAAAGATGCTGTGCTGGTGTCTCAGTACTTTATCCAGTAATGAGCGAGGTTTCTTCACTACGCTCTCGGTGTCCGTTTCCCATTCGCACTCTTGTAGCATGCTCCTCCTGCATGTTGTAACTGTTGCTTCATGACTTGTACCTTTCTCAGCGCCCTTGCTTTTCACACAAAACTCCAATGCACCAGGAATTGGTCCTGTGAGCTTCATTGTTGTTTTTTTTATGTCACTTGTGTTTTGGGAGCTAATCCATAATTTTGAAGCGTACCGATTTTAAAGTGCAAGCATTCGACCTAATTTTGAGCGGATTGACATGTATTTCGCCTTGAAATTGACAAACCCATTGTCTTGTCACGGTCATGAACAATTTTGTCCAAGTTACCCGGGCACAACAACCACGGCAAAACACAAACTCACGAACAACTGAACAACTGAACACTTTCAGCGAGCATGCAAAACAAACGCACTTGCTGAAAGCGATCATCAACCAGCTGGCTGGCACAACAACCAAGAAGCTCGTTTCAAACAACAAGGGTCAGCTTGTCATTGTTTTGCAAATCGACAGTCGACGTAACAGGAACATTCAGATCAGTGAGAACCACGCCAGACACGCTGCCGGGCGCAAGGCCATGCGGGGCAGCAAGAACCGCGATGAACGCATCTAAAGACAATGTTTTCGACAGGGTAGCGAGCCGAAGCTCACTCGAGTTGCTCAGTGAGTAAGGTAGGTTTAATGCAGCAAAGGAAAAGAAATGGTACACTACAAGAACAAGGCAACGTAGCAAGAGGCAACAAAAAAATGAATCAAGTGGCAATCAACAGGGCAATCAAAGCAATCAAATCGAAGAAACGAGAAACCAACCTTGTCGTCATTGTTTGCAGATAATGACGAAAGGCGGGGGAGGGGAAGAGATACAGTACAAAAGGATGGTAGCAGAACAGGTACACACGTCAAAAAAGGGGGGGGGAGGAAGGGCCGCAGGCGATAAATTCCAAGATTTACGCAAACCGTTAGGCAGCTCGCGCCTGCACGAGCGACACGGAAACGACAAGAAAACACAAACAGCGTAAATTTTTTAAAAGAAGAACAGGCGCTCACAACATGTTGTTGCTGGGCATTTGCATGGATGAAGGCTGCATGTTGAGCTGCTGCATCTGCTGCTGCAACTGGTGCTGCTGCTGGTGCATAAAGTGATGCAGCATGGGCTGCTCGTGGAGCGGCTCGAGTTGATGCCGCTGATAGTACGCCATGCCCGCACCTTCGGACGGTGGCGACATGGGCGGGGGAGACATGGTTGGCGGCGAGGCAAGGGGAGACGTGGCGGTCGGCGAGAGCAGGGGGGAAGTGACACCGCCGTTCGAGCGACGCTTCGGGTTGGCATGCATGTACGCCGACTTGTCGCTGGGAGCCATCTGGGTGTAGTTTGAGTACAGCGTCATGCGAGTGCAGGTGAGAACGCTGCCAATTTCGCGCGTGCCGTTGCCAGTGCGCGTCATGAGCGAAAACTTGATGCGCAGAGTGCCATTGTTGTGAATGGAGCTGGGCTTGACCATGATGCGGAGCTCGTTGAAGGTGGCCACGTTGTCGCTAAAGTAGCGGCGATAGCCCAGATCCACGTACGAGCCTTCGAGGACTTTGACATCGCCGCAGCGAACCTCCTCGCCGTTGCGAGATTGAACAAGCGTGGCGGTCATAAAGTCCGTCTCGCGACAGAAGCTGCCGGCCACTGCGACGCGAATCGGAGGGCGGATCATGTAGTTCTTGTCCGGCTTGGATCGGAGCTGAACGTGGCATGGTTCTTGCAAAACGGTAAGCATGGCTGCGCCAGTGGCGTTGCCAAGGGAGCCGGAAGCGGCGGCAGTCGAGGAATTGACTGGTGACGTTGCAATGGCTGGCGATCCCGAAGCGCTGGTCGCAGACGGGATGGGAATGGCCGACGAAGCCGCGCCCCGCAAGCCAGCGAACGACGACGGGGCAGACGACGAAAGCATGGACTGCAGCTGCATTTGCTGCTGCTGCTGCTCTTGCTGCTGTTGCTGCATGACCTGGTACTTTTGTTGTTGCGCGAATGCCGCTTCAAATGGCTGCGGATACGGAGTGTTGTGGATGGGAGCCAATGCAGATGGATTTGGTTGGGGAATGACACCGATCGACGACGAGCGTTGTGCTGGCATGTGGTAGGCCTGCGCGGGACCGGCAGCAGCGGCAGGCGGGGCAAAGTAAGCCACAGGTTGATGTTGTTGTTGATGCTGTTGCAATTGTTGCTGTTGTTGTTGCTGCTGCTGCTGCTGCTGCTGTTGTTGCTGCATCTGCTGGATTTGTTGCATGTGTAGTTGCTGTTGTTGGTGATACTGGTACTGGCGCTGTTGCATCGCGTTCGGCGGGGACAAGGGCGGGGTGGGGAAGGTCATGTCAGCAGAAGGGAACGCCAGCTTGGGCATCGGCTTGAGGTTGTTGTTGTTGTTGTGGTGGGTGTTGCAGTTGCTGCGGTTGGGGTTGCTGCTGAGGTTGAGGTGGTTGCTGGGAAGCATACTGCATTGGTTGCTGTGCTTGCTGCTGCTGCGAAATGGGCACGGCGGCGGGATTGGAATTGGCCATGAAGAGCAGGCATTCAGCACCTTGGCGGGGATCCTCTTCGTGGGAGGGCTGGCGCGAGTGGCTCTCAGAGTGGGGTTGCATCTGCTCATCGTCGTCGCTGCTGTCGAAATGGGACGACAGCAAGGATGCATTGTCCCCATCGCTCATGGCGGCGAGATTCTGGCGATGCTCGGCAGGGATGACTCCTCCCGAGATGCGACGGAGCAGACGCTGGCGCGGCGCTGTTGAGCCGTCCTCGTTGTACTGTGCGGGGCGGAAGGGCAGGTTTTCCGAGTTGGACCTTGGCTTGGTCAGTCCCACGCTGACGCTGCTGGGCGCGAGCATGATGGGCGCCATCGCTGGAGACGAGTATTGCTGTTGAGGCGAGGTCATGCCATTGGAAGTGGCCGCCGCAGCAGCAGCAGGGTGAACGGCAAATCCTGCAGGAGCGTAGATCACTTGGGGCTGTTGCTGTTGCTGCTGCTGCTGCTGCTGCTGTGCTTGTTGCATCGCAGCAACGGGTTGTTGTTGCTGTTGTTGTTGGTGTTGTTGGTGTTGTTGGGCGAGCTGGTAAGGATGGAACATTTGCTCTCCAGCGTAATGTCCGCTCGGGACTTCGATGGGAGTCGGGCGAGGAATACGCTCGTTCAATGTGGATGGTTGCTGTTGTTGTTGCTGCTGCTGCTGCTGCTGTTGTTGTTGTTGTTGTTGTTGCTGCTGCTGCTGTTGCTGCTGTTGTTGAAGCTGCAGCTGTTGTTGATGCAATTGGTGCTGCTGAAGCTGTTGCTGTTGTTGTTGTTGTTGCATCTGCTGCTGTTGCAACTGTTGTTGGTGAAGTTGGTGCTGGTGGAGCTGCGCTTGTTGCTGTGCGTGTTGCTGTTGCGGAGAGAGCGGGAGCTGAGCAGCGGGCACGTAGTGGACGCGCTGAGCATCATCGTACACAGCCATGTATTGAACGGGCAGTTGTTGCTGTTGTTGCTGTTGTTGAGGTGGCTGTTGCTGCATGGCATGGAAGATGGTGCCAGGTTGCTGCTGCGATGGCACAGAGTAATGCATGACCTGCTGCTGCTGCGGGTGCTGCTGCTGCTGCATGAGCTGCGGCTGCGGTTGTTGCTGGTGCGGTTGCGCCATGCTCATGTTGGGCTGGTACGCGAGCTGCATTGCTGTCTTGCTATTCCTTTGTGAAAAGTCCAGAGATTGGTCGTTTTCAGGGGGGTTTGCTTGTTGGTCCTTGAAGCAAGTCCAAAAGTGCGTAGATTGGAAAAAAAGAGGCAGCGGGGACGGGAACGCGGAGGCAAAAAAAAAAAAAACAGAAGGAAAAAACCACGGAAAGTGTTTTTGACGGGTGGTTGTGCTTGAAAGTGGCTTTGGCTTTGGCTTTGGCTTTGGCTTTGGCTTTGGCTTGAGTCACCGTCTGGCAAGAAGCAATTGAGGTTTGTGGAGACGGGGAAACTTGGACGAAGGGAAGAAAATCTGTAACAAAAAAAAAAAAAAAAAAAAATAGAACGGACAAAAAGTGAGGGGTGCGAAAATTGCAACAAAAAAAAATAAATAAAATAAAATAAATAAATAAAAAAGCGGAGAGAAAAAAAAGCGTGGATGGAACGAACGAACGAGGGAAGGGAGGAGATGGGAGAGGGAAAGGGGAAGGGGGGAAGGGGAAGGGTGAGCAGAGGACGTGAATTGCAATGAGAGAGGTGTGAGTGGGGCGAACGGTGCGGTGGGCATCAGCAAAGAGAGGGACAAGCCGTCGAATTGA